AGTTTTATAATCATGTAAATGGAAATTCAAATGAAGTTTTTTGTTTTGGAAGATTTTATTCGTTACTACAAGATGTAGTATCAAGGTCACTGTTTTTCAAAATTTTAAATTAATTATACTGACCTCATTTTAAAGAATCAACGACACGGAAAACTAACACAAAAATATATATAATCGTCCCCTATTTTTTTTATTTTAAATCGTTGGGTGCACAAATTATTTCTCGATAAAAAATAAAAATTTACCTACCAATTTTGCATATCCAATTAATCATGCTGATTCTTCAACGGAACAGGTGCCGGAACTTTCTTTCACTGCGAAAGAATGGTATCCTTGAACCTGAAAATTTAATTATTGGTTGTTAGTTCGCGATCAATTAAATCACAACATGCATTACGTGATAAATAAATAAGTGCAATGGGAAGTCAATGTGAAATTTAATTTTTGTTATTAATTAAATTTGCCTCGTCAGGATATGTAACTTTCTGATGATCGACAACTATATCAAATTCAAACCTTGAAGTAATTTTTCAAAATAACCTTTTTTTGGGGGTTGCGAATTAACTTAACGAACCGTTAGATTTCGAAATCTTGCACACTACAGTTTTTGCCAATTATCACTGAACGTACAATTAACGGAAGGTGCGCAAGTCACTTGGTCACACTAACGTATGAAAATATTCTCCTTTTGCACGTATCCACTAGTCCACACGTCATGTGCAAAACTAATACTGGCCTTTACAAAAAAGCTCACTCGTTGACTGAAATAGATATTTTAGAGAACTGAAACTATCGATTGCGCCCCCGTCATTAAATAATTCAAAAAAGGTCGATTGCCCAAAAACCCCGTACAAATCTACCTAATTGGAATTCGCGTGCAGAAATGTTTAGTAATCCGCTGAAACGAGTTGGGTCAGTTTGCATTCCGAAGAAAGGTATTTAAAAAAAAGTAGCTTCTTCCTGCGCTATAAGTAATTACCAAATAAAACGTCCTTCAATAAAGCACCTTCAATATACGTTTAATAAAAAAAATTTAGTCGGTAGGCGCTTCAATTGTAAATCCGCTCGAAGATCGCTGATAGTGGGAATGCAATAAAAACTCAATTTCGCCGCTAATTAAATATGAGAAAACTGAATAATTAACTTTCTCTACTTTTGACGTGTAATTTAATTTAACGAGTTCAAGGATTTGGCAGGTAGAGATTTGGATTAGAGACGCATCCGTTTTCCCAAACCCATTTACAACCGTAACAATCCCATGGGCACGGGCAGTAGAGGATCGCGTTGATTAATGAAGAAATAATACTGTATAGGTATCCGAGATTAATGCTCACTTTTACCTAGAACTTTCCACCGTCTCTTCCCAAAATTATACGGAGGCTGTGACTGCATCTTAGCTAAATTTACCCCCTTACGATCACCCATGTGAATATGGAAAAAAAAAACTTCCTAAAGGAATTCTCTGGTGTCCACTTGAAATATTCAAATGGAAAACGAGGATGGGGGGGAACCTTCACCCCCCTTTGTGTCAAAACTGAACTTTTTTGAGAGTTTTGAAAAAGTCATTAATAGATCCGCAAAACAAGGGAAGGACCTCTCCAAAATTCTACCAAAAAAATGTTTTCAGCCGTCTTTCTTATAGAAATGTTTAACAGTTTTGAGGGACTCTCCAGAATTTCAATCCGATGCAGGACAATTCAATCTGTCAAGAACTGTAGAACATTATATGAGGGAAAGGGGGGCTCCTGAACTCTAATTACAAAAACAAAGTTTTATAAATGAGAGGCAAACTTCACATGCGTCATCTGAATTTCACAAAAGAAAAAGTCTACCAAATTATGTACCTATTTAACTAATGTATACATAATCCGTTCCACAACGTTAAATGCAAACTGCGTGTTTTCTACGCAAAATTAATTTGTTTTTTTAACGCATGCCAAACGTTTTTTGGTCTAGCGGCTCAACATTTAAATTTCATTGCCAAAGTCATAAGCTCCAGCCTCCGAACAGGTTGATCTTGAATATATCGAGTAGGATACCTTATGTAACAAGGTCACAGAATTGAAAATTTTCCACGTGGATTATAACACAGAACCCACGAAAAGCCGGCTCGAAGCCCAAAATCTCAGTTGCCTAAAAGCCATAGTCTATCTGTGTACCAAATTTCAGCATGAGACAGGGATTTCATTTGAAAACAAACCGCCGATTATTAATCTGTAATTTTAATAACTAGACACAAAAATTGAGAAAACATGTCCATAAATAGCTAGGGTGAAGTTTAATGGTAGGTTTACCTTCCCCCCCACAGTATTGGGCCTTGTTGTGTTTGTGGGACTTGAATCGTTCAGCGTAACGCCAGGCTCGACCCGTCGTATGGTGGCCTCAAGTGAGAATCATGAGACAACACCCTCGAGGCGAGCCGTAATAACGGATCCTGGTAGTTGAGTTACCTCAAGTAGCGATAACCAGTGGCGTAGCTAGGCCTTTTTAGGGGGGGGCTGCAGCCCCCCCCCCCCAATTCTGTATCCAGCCCCCCCTTTATATATTTCAAAGTTTTTATTATAAGTGTCTTTCGGTGCACTTAATGTTCTTAATGGTAAATTTCTGACAACTGCAATACCACATACATTGTGCAGTTGTATGCGCTGCAGGGCTGCAAGTGTAACCCTATATCGTTTTCGATGTCGGGGACCGTGCATTCCTTTTTCGTCTCTGTTTACTGCTCGATGCGACGCACGGTACGCGTAGGTCTGCCCATCGGTGGCTCTCAGCACCTCCGTGAGCGTAAATATTTAATATACTATTTAAAATATACTAAAATATACTTATTCAGCGATGAGTTTATTAAATTGGTTAATTCCAAAACCCAACCCTGAACTAGGAAACATGGCATGATGGCCTCTAAAAAGCATTAAGCGGGTCACTCTGTAATTGAGCGCAAGCCTAGCTGTTGAGGGTCCTGAACAAAAGAGGAATAATAAATAAATAAAAGAGGAAAAGGCAGCAATCGGCAGGTACATTTCCAATTTTCCCTACATTGTCCCAGTGTGCAGAATCGCACGACTTTTTTTCTACTTTGATATCATAATGCCTTCATTATGACACCGAAAACAGTATAATAATGACCTTTATCATTAAACTTCAAATTCCCCCACCCAGCGCTACGCCAACGCTAGGAGGCTCAGCCCTCCCAATGCTACAACCCTAGCTACGCCACTGGCCTTTGGCGGGAATTTCGCTTAAGGCAATTGGCTGTGTGGTCGGGTCAGACCGCCGATTGGGTGAGCATCTGTAGGGTAGTGGGAGCAGACTTACTATTGCTCTTCTAGTATAAAAACAGTCACATCAATCATCGCCCACTGTAAAACAGGTCGCCTGTGAGATGTACTCTTATATTTTCATCTCTATCTAATCTAGCTAAGAAAAATACATAAGTTTTCAGTGGGCGGCTACTTGCGACTGTTTTTATAGTAGACGACGTATAGCCGAAGTTAGGCTATTCTCGAATGACTTACTCCAAACCGAAATCAGGCTGTTTTCTGCTACCTTTTCAAAGCTATATTCTTCTACGTCCCCTTGTTGGGTGGGGAGCTAGAGGAACGAATTTATACTATTCTGGCATGGAGATTGATCAAAATAGTAAACCAGAGGGTCCCAAGATACCCCACGACCGATCTTACAGGTCACCGAGCCTCAACAATACACCAAACCAAGCAAGCGCATCTCCGGCACTGAGAAGAAGAGGAGAAAGAAGGTCAGCATGGCCCAAATTGCTCCAACACTCACTTCCACCTCCCGTGACCCAACTCTGACCCAGAGGCAGGATAATAGAGTTAACCCCGTCAGACTACAGTATCACCCACGTTCAGGGGTTGGAGGTACTCGGGCGAGATCCTAATTCCTAAGAATATCGTGCGAGAACAACAATTTCCTTGAGGTTAGGAACCTACCACAATTTATGGGAAGCTGCAACACCTAAAGGTAGTGTTAGAAGACTTGCTATGATCAGCAAGGCTGCCGTCTGGATCCCGAGGGATCCTGACGACCTGGTGGCGGTCAAGCGGCGCTCGGGAGTCCAAAATTCCAGGGCGTAGCTGGTTCCACACAGCCGAAGGATCAACGTCAAGGGAGTCTAATAGTTTTCGGCGAATTTCGACAATTTTCGAAAAAAATTTTATTAGCCGCTTTACTTATTTTTCACATTGGCATCGGAAAAAGGAAAAGGTCATATCGAGTTTCATTTCTCCGGCACCCCGATTGATACCGCATGCGGGTTGCTCAGGGTTTCTTGACCCTCTTCAGTCAGATAACGGGAATGTAAAGATGGGTAAAGTTAAGGATGGGAACAGAAGGAACGGAGTTAGGGTGCTGAGAGGGAAGAGTACTGCCCCAGCATTCGCCTCGTAGATTTCAACATTATGCGAAGCTACGTAGGTACCTACGTTTGAGGAAAACCCTCTGACAGAACCCCAGACAGAGCAGTCGGAGGCGGGATTTGAAAACGGCCAGTAGTGCATAAGACTCCACCTGACAGACAGACAGACTACAAGAGACAGTTTTTGTCAATGTGAAAATTTTCGACACCGATGTATTTGTGTGTACTAGTGGAGATCATTTTGATAAAACCACTTTTAAACAATCAAAACGTGTCAAATTTATTTATCTTAGTTTTTTATTTATTCATAAATTGTAGTGTTTTTGCAATTTTTGATTTTTTATCAAAATTACAACCGGGCGGTGGTTGGTTTTGAAATGAAAGCCCTGTATACGTTTATCAACGACACACGTATACTTAAAACATAATGCAAAAAATGAACTATAAATTAAATTGAATCAAACTTGTAAAACTTGTATAACCTGAACCCTCGACTTTGGTTTAAATTCTTGAAATTAATTACCGTTACTAAGTGCTTTGGTCATTAATTGGAGTATGACGTCAGCAAACTATCATTTGTTTTTTTCATCGAATGCAAATTTAATAAAATTTACCAAAGAATTAATTATAAAGTAATTTTAAATTTATTTAAATGCGGGTACACATAAGTTAAACTAGTTAGAGAACCCCCTCTCCTCTCACCATTTATTATTATTAATTCGTTTTACTAGCACAATCCCGAGTTCTGTTCATCGTCATCTGCTTCTCTATCAAGTTCATATCCCAAATGCGTCACTGATATCGATGACTGAACCATGCGCCTTGCTTCGGCTATATCCCAAGGCTGTACGGTAGCTGATCCAAAGGTTATGAATGTAAGCCCTCCAACCACATAAACGAGACCGATCATCATCACGTTGACGTACACCTTCTCCTACAATGATCGTTAGATAAATAGGTAATGGTAACGATAATTTTAACGATAATAATGTCAATTTCAAAAAAATAATATTGAGAAATAGGAAAATGGCACCGTCTTAGTTTTTTGTTTAATTAATTAATAACCAAACCCCTCGAATTGGATTTTGTGTCTATTTTTGTAAAGATAATTTTACGGCCTTTAAAATGATGTATCAGTCGATAGGGAGTGCATATTATAATTTTAAAGTGGGGATAGAGTAAATGCTAAAACTGAGGTAAACTTCCCCATAGCTATCTAACGGGCGTGTTTGATTGACATTGTAAATTACTGTCGATAAATCGACTTTTGTGTTATCTTTAAAGGATAAAGTAAAATGGTACCAAGTTCTTCCTAGCTGTATAAAGGAAGCAGTTTTGCCAATGTTTCAACACATATTGAGATGAGCGTCAAGTTAGCCCCCCACTTTTTGAATTTTTAAAATATTTTTATTGCAATCGTTTGTTGCTCGTTTGTTGGTTACATTTTCGCGTTTGTTGGTTGATGGTTATTTAATTATTCAAATTTCAAAATTTGGACGTATATAAAAGTGATAGTTACTTAATTATTCAAAATTAAAAAATTTGGGCGTATAGTTGGCCCCCTACTTTTTGAATTTTCAGAATATTTGTTGCTAACTTGACGCCGGTCGGAAGGTACGGAAGTGTTTTTCATTTTCTTGCGGTGGAAAACCTTTGGTGTTTGAATAATCTCCATTTACTCACCTTAACCAACTCTGAGATGTAGGCAACCATAAACGGCATAACCGCTGTTATGACGCAAATTAAAGCTTGCATGGGTGCAAAAAGTGCCTGTGCAAAATGAGGCGCCAAATCTAACGCATTTATAAAGCCGCTACCAATAAAGGCACCGTTAAAACCAAGAATTAAAAGTCCAATCACAATATTCACCGACTCCTTGCAGTGTACGGCAATTGTCGTTAACGCTATCGTTCCAGGAATTACTTGCGCTACAAAAGAAAACACGTACAAGTGCGGGGCGAAATATACTCATACTACAGGTGTTGTATTAGTATCATGGTCATTTCTTTTGTCACGATCATCCTTATTGAAACAATCAATAACCGTTAGGGAATAATGTCAGTAGCGGAATATAAAATGCGGTATAGCTATACTCATTTGGATGTTGATCAGGCAATTAAATTTAATTACGACGCCTTGAAGGTCGATTAATAGCAAAAATCTACGAAAAGCAAATATTGCTAACACGCATTTATAGATTTTATACTTAGTATTCCCTATAAGTCACTGCCCCATCCCAATTTTGTTGAGATCAAAGTGTCAATCCACGAACCGAAAGTTCTATGTTGGTCATGGAGAATGCTGCATATGCTTACACACTACCTTGCAATTTTTAACGACCACCCCAACAGAAAATTTGAAGTGTTGATGGGATAACTGCCCTCTCCCCCCTCCCCCAACCGCCCATTTAAAAATTTGGCAACTGTATTTTAGACTTCTGGAGGGCCTCTAGATAAACTTTATAAAGGAGTAGTTCATTTAAGTCGTAAAAAACAATGGGGGGCCAACTTCACGCACCCCCCTCCCCTCCTCCCCACATTTTATTAAAAGTGAACATTGTTTAGAGTTTTGAACAGATCGTCAATCTAAAGTTCCTGGTAGCCGATTCAAATAGTTGCGCGAAAAATCAATGCAAAACACCTAGTCCGTGATGGACTTTTGTGGTAAACGTTACAATGAAGAAGCTAAGAGGATTTTTAATATTTCAAATGTGATGAAAAAAGAAGTTCTTACGTATTGAGTGGTAAGCAGTTGTAATTAATCATACAGAGAAACTCTGAGAGCAACACATTTACATTCGAAATCATTAAGGGCTAGTTATTTGATTTTTCCATCCACACTTCCCCTAACAATCAAGGCTTTAGAAGCTTAGAAGCCACTATTCACTCACAGACAGGCACTTCACACTCAACAGTGGACGCACCGAGTCCCATCTCACGGTAGGGCTGAAGGTTTCAGTGAAAAGTCTAATTTTCAATGGCTTCGGTGTACGTAGACGATTCTTCTTCATAAACTACCACCACATTACAGTTTTAAACGATACATGTTTATACTGCTCCACAATAGAAGGCGCCTTTAAGTATACCTAAATTTGTTTCCCAAAAAATGCATAAGGTTAGCAATCTGTGTATGCTTAGATCTGTGGACTTCTCAATCAAAAGTTATAGACTAGAAACCAATTTCGAAAAAAAATTCAAAGGGCTGTAACTTTTGAACTAGTAGCCCAATCTTGAAACTGTTTGAAATTATGGATTCTACAGGCCACATTCTATAAGAAAATTTTTTTCCGGGTCGATCTGAGACAATTTTTTTTTCGGGGCTCAAAAAAAAGCAGTGTATAACCTTCCTTTTTTACCAAAAATCGACTACACCAAAATTTCTCGGGAAAACACTTTTTCTTATTAATTTTGGTGCGTAGAATCCAAAACAAATCGTACTTTTTCGATTAGATTTTTCAATCAAAAGTTATAGACTAGAAACCAATTTCGAAAGAAAATTCAAAGGGCTGTAACTTTTGAACTAGTAGCCCAATCTTTGAACTGTTTGAAATTATGGATTCTACAGGCCACATTCTATAAGAACATTTTTTTTCCGGGTCGATCTGAGACAATTTTTTTTTTCGGGGCTCAAAAAAAGGCAGTGTATAACCTTCCTTTTTTACCAAAAATCGACTACACCAAAATTTCTCGGGAAAACACTTTTTCTTATTAAGTTTGGTGCGTAGAATCCAAAACAATTCGTACTTTTTCGATCAGACTTCTCAATCAAAAGTTATAGACTAGAAACCAATTTCGAAAGAAAATTCAAAGGGCTGTAACTTTTGAACTAATAGCCCAATCTTGGAACTGTTTGAAATTATGGATTCTACAGGCCACATTCTATAAGAAAATTTTTTTTCCGGATCGATCTGAGACAGTTTTTTTTCGGGGCTCAAAAAAACGCAGTTATTACCTTCCTTTTTTACCAAAAATCGAATGCACCAAAATTTCTCGAGAAAACACTTTTCCTTATTAATTTTGGTGCGTAGAATCCAAAACAATTCGTACTTTTTCGATTAGACTTCTCACAGATCTACACATACACAGATTGCTAACATGCATTTTTTGAGAAACAAATTTAGGTATACTTAAAAGCGCCCTCTATTGCGGAGCAGTACAAACATGTACCGTTTAAAACTGTAACATGACGCTTAAGGATTTATGCTAATGTCGCTGCAAAAAATTTAAAGCGGTAAAGTGTGCATAATTCGAATTCGTTATTTTTGGCATTTGATATTTGTAATCGGTGATTTTATTTTGTGATTTGTTTATAGACACGTGTTCAAGAGATCATATATGTATACCTACATACGTATTCCAAATCTTATCGGCGTGGCAAAGAGTGTAACGTTAATTATGGCGGAGATATACATAAGTATAGTTTTTAAGTATACCTTTGCGGTTAGCAATCTGCCAAGACCTTTAAAGCTGCAAATAATTTCCGCCCGCTTCAAAAAACCTTCACGATTCTTTAAGAACCTGCCCTATGTTCGTTATGTATCTGTGACCACAGGTACCCGTTTTTAATAACTCCTTTACGAGGAATGAGTAGCTCCAGTGTTAAATTAAACAATTATGGCTCAACGTACCTCCTATCATATATCACTGTAATAATACGAATATTAAGGAATTCGAATTGTGCAAACTTTAGCGCTTTAATTTTGTTTCAGCGACATCTAACGCATAAATCCATAAGCGTCACTTTACAGTTTTAAACGATACATGTTTATACTGCTCCACAATAGAGGGCGCCTTTAAGTATACCTAAATTTGTTTCCCAATAAATGCATAAAAGGCCGTATTAGACGATGCAATTTTTATTGCAATCCTTGCAGCAACTATTGCTGCTATTATTGCAGCAATTATTGCAAAAAGATGCAATGATTACACTATGCAATTTATGTGTCAATTTTTTTATACCCAATTCTAATCATGTATTGGTGCCAATGAAAGTGGAATTGGCATCACTGGGAAATACTTGAAAGCAACTTCACGTCTGTTGTAGACCAGGAGCAGGAAACGTGTGTTTTGTGACGTTTCCTTTGTTGAAGGCCGTGCAATTTATTATTTATATTTGCACGCACTTATTCACACTCATGGCCGTTTGCACCGACAAAATTAAGTGGAGCTTAGCTGAAGCGTAGCTTAAAATCCATGGCAACGACAACGATTATTGAGACAATTGTTGCCATGGATTTTAAGCTACGCTTAAGCTAAGCTCGGCTTAAATATGTCGGTGCAAACGGCCATCAGGTTCGTTAAATTCATTGAGTAGGTTTAAGTTTCCCTTTGTGAAATCGTTATTGGCAAGCCACTGCCTGGTCCAAAAATGTCGTCGTCTTCTTTGTTTCTTTTTTTTTAAAAGAGCAACAGCAGACGCAATAACTAAAGATGCGGCAGCAATATCCATTTTTGAATTCCTCGTAAATAGGTTATTTCAGTTTTAACTTTAAATAACAAACCTGTATATAGCATAAGGAGGTAATGTTCTCCAGTGCATACCACTTTATTTTTTTTATAAATTAAATGTTACTAAAATAGTTACTAAATTGCAAGAAAAATTGCAAGAAAAATAGCACAAGTTCTATAACCAGAAAATTGCAGAATGTCTTGCTGCAATATTTGGCGCAAGAAATTGCACGTGCAATTTTAACATACACGGAGCAATTTTTCGTGCAATTTCTTGCGGCAATGAATTGCTGCAAAAATTGCAATAAAAATTGCATCGTCTAATACGGCCTTTAAGGTTAGCAATCTGTGTATGCTTAGATCTGTGCTAAAAGTAAACAAATACTGGTCGTGGCTTGTGACGTCATCCAAGGCCCGCTGAAAATGTGGCGGCGTTTAAACACATCGAATAAAGTCAACGTTTTAAATATTATTTTACAAGTTAAATTGAATTGTTCTAACAGTGTTTACTCTTTTTACTATGTTAGAACGATGTAAAAAAGCGATTAAAAAATTTAAAAAATTACATGCATATTCCCTATTGTCTAAAGGAAAGGTGAATACTACTTTTTTGACCGAGCAAAAAAATAAGATTACCAATAAAAGCGATTGACTTTCTTAGTACAGTCACCGACATTCTATTTTGTATTATGATGTATCTCAGCAGAGGTAAACACAGAATACCCAATACCATTCTGGTCAAAAATGCAGCTGAAGTTAACCAGAATGCCTGTAAAGGATGGAAAATTAGTCACCTTTGTCTAAATATCAGTCTATTCTGTACCTACTCCACTGTTTGTAGAAGACGTAATGCGCTTGAAATATAAAGGTCCGTAGTACCTAAAATAGTTCAAATTCCACCCATTGCAGCACAATAATACAAACAAGGCCCTTATTTTCGAGCAGTGCAATATTTTAGACCATGGCGTCCTCCTTCTTCTATCCTATACATGTCCCTCCTAAACGTTTTAGAGTGTTGTTGCAATATAAATACCCTGAACATATCGACTGACACACGCTGCCAAGCTATCTCATTTAATTCTTCTTGTGTGATTCGAGTGTGACGTATTGGAACGTCACTAACATACCATAGCCAAATTGCAGACCAAATCACCGTTATTCCACCGGTGGAGTAAATAACCAAATCGGCGCCCCAAGTTCTGGTGGTCCAACTGCACGCCGAAAATGTGACGATCACACCAACGCTAGAACCTAACCATTTGGTTTCTTACCAGAACTGCCTCCCCAATCCTACTAACCGAAAAGAATGGCTCCAAAAACATTTCTTTCATACATAGGACTCCAATCCATCATCAAAATGCTCATCTGCGGTAAAACATGCCCCTAAAATCGATTTGTGATCATTAATACTCTCTTTCAGCAACGACGAACCGAAAACAATCCTATTAAAAACCTTGCTACCACCAAAACGTATAGATTCTCGTAAATAATTCCGAACGTGCTGAACATGGTTACAACAGCGGCCAACAGTAGCCCAACGCCGATACATATAGTGGCTCCAAAGTGGTCTTCTAAACTATCAGCATTGAATAAGGTTATGGCACAGCCCAGGTCGTACGCCGCGAACACACTCGCTATCTCGAATGGGGTCAGAAACTGATTCAATTTGCCTTTCACAATTTTAGCATTCGAGTCGCATTCTTTAGGTGCCTCGTTCATGGCTTGCCCATTGTTAGATAAGAGTACGGTGTAGTTTACCCTTAACATTGTGGTAAAAAAACAACCAAAGAACATTAGGATCGCTATCTAGAAACTAAATAAGACGAAGAATGAGTTAGTCAATTATACCTTTACTCGCACACGCATATTAACTATAGTCTCGTTGACAAACGTCAAAGAGTGTAACAGTGAATACACACATACCTACTCGATAAATAATTAATCGTTTGTACCATGTAATTAATGATCAACAAAATTGTCATTATTATTCTCTCAATGTTGGTAATCCACCAGTTGCGTTGAGTCGAGGAGTCGTCGAAAATAAAAAAAATTACCTTTGGACTTCGAGTGGCAACCTTGTGAGCTCAAAAGGGCGCGTTCGGCCTTTTCTATAACAGACAACAACCACCAACCCACATAACGCCCACCGAACGTACCTAAATGTCGCTACTGCCCGCAGTATCACTTCCATATCGTCCTATCCAACCGACAACAGGATCGGGGAAACAGACCGGACCGAGCATCCGGCCATCCAATTAATTCAAACCACAATCCGACTAGAACGGTATCAACAATAAAAGACTGGTCGCCCTACTCGACACATAACTTCATCCGACGCGAGTTCGCTTGGTTACACCACCAAAAAGCCGTCATCGATATCGAGAGTGGATGCCTGCATTGAGGAAGGGAAAGCAGACGATGCACTGGAACCGCGCCACCAACCATCCCACCCGACGGCCAGGTATCGCCACCACCGAGGTCAACACGGTTGTCCACCACACCTGAAGGATCAGTGGGCCAAACTGAATTTTGAGACAACGCTCACAGGGGACGACTCCGAAACCACCACACATATATTATATGCAGTGATGATATTCATGTAGAAGTAGACATAGGGATTTCATATAGGAATTTCCTATGTCTACTTTTAAATGATAAAACCAGATGTCAAATTCTTGACAGAATAGCTTCCTAGCTGAAACCAAAAATTGCCAACATATGTACGCACTTACAGACGGGAAAAATTTATTCTTTAAAAGTTGCTTAAAATGATCTAAAACGTCAACATTTGATGAAACACAATTTTTTGACTTTGACAATTTTTTTCTCCGTTTTTTGATAATATAACCCGGCCCAATTTTTTGTAGGTTGTACACAGGAAAATAAGGTCTTCCAAATAATAGAATAAAAATTTTAGGTTGCTATTTGAAAAAAAAGTTCGATGCCGTTACGGCGCTCCAAAATTTCTTTTCAAAAATCCGGCCCGTTATTTTTCTGTTCGGTATGCCTAAAACATATATACAAAATTTCAACAAAATCCGTCGAGCCGTTTTCACAGAAAATTGCCAACAAACGTACGTACGCACATACATACGTACGTAGACGGAAAAAAATTTTATTCTTTAAAAGTTGCTTAAAATGGTCTAAAACGTCGACATTTGATGAAATTTTGAAATGTTCAAAAAACGGCTATCGCAATAGCTACCTAGCACATGCTAGGAAGCTAAAAAGTCTTCTAAACTCTAAAGGACGCCTAACGTTATGCAACCAAAATAACTACTTACGACAAATGAAGATCTGCCTGTCATATTAATTATTAATTTGAATATTGTCGCTTTGACTTCCGTGTTCTAATTTTCTATTCAACTAAAGAAAAAGTTGATATTTCCAATTAGTATAGTACCTGTGAAGCCAAAGCAACCATATTCCAATTAATAATTAATATGACAGCCAGATCTTTATTTGTTTCAAGAAGTTATTTTGGTTGCATAAAATTAGGGGTCTTTCAAAAAGAATTTTTGTCATTTGAAAGCAGACATAGGAAATCCCCGTCTACCTACTTCTGCATGAATATCACTATATTCTCCTTCGACGTGATACATTGTCCCGGTAAGGAGCACGAACTCCCCGACCACCTATCGAGAACCCCACAGACCAGGCCATGGAAGAAAATACCGAAGAGAACATCAGTTGCCTCCTACCCTCGCCAACCGCACCAGCAGACAGGGAGGACGCGGGGTCACCAGTCCTCGAGTTAATGCAACCTGAAGCCTAGCGCGCTCTACTCTAGGTTTGGGACGTGCCGCACGGACGCGGACGGTACGTACGGGATTTTTCAAAAATGATTTAGCGCACGAAGCCGGTACCCTTAAATCACGCACCTTTTCGTGTTTTTCGCCATAAATCACCCTCCGGAGGGCAAGCAGAAAGAGTCACAGAGACACCGTCGAGGTTTAGGGGGGTACCGAAAATGGGCGCGTCTAACAGGGTAGGGTACCCCCGTAAAAGCTGAATAATAAAACACCTTTTCGGGCTTGGACGAAAAGTTATTCGACGTACGGGGTCGGTACTTTCGGAATCCGTAGCCCCTCCCCGCTAGGCCGTTTTTAGGTATATACGCGACTTTAAAAATTCGTAGCGGGCGAAGGAGGGGAGATACGAAAAAACTTTACGTTGTGCGCGATTAGCCCGCTCTGTGGTGTGAAGGTATGGAAGGGCGCGCGACGCGAAGCGGAGCGCGTAGGAATTTTTCGAGAAAAAGTGCGCTGTTTGCCGAGCTTACCTTTACAGAGTCGTTGTATGCCATCTAAACGTAACGAGACAGCATACAGTCAGAACCAAATATGGAATAAGTATATATTAAACCGAAAAAATGAAGACAAAACGTAAAAAATACCCCCTTTTCGACGGAATTTGTATGAAAGCAACTCACGCTAGCGAAGTCTTTAAATGCGAGGCATTTTACAAACCTATACGATGTGATTGACTAAAAAAGAGACTATCGATATATTGGTGCTTTTTTGAGCCGAATCAAATTTCTTGTCACTTTTTAGATTATTTCAACGACACAACTTGACTACATTCTCACAACAATGAAGCAAAAAATAAAAACAATTTCTATACAGTAAAACAATAACAAACGGCGGTGATAGGTCCATAAGGACCTATCTAGTTATTTTATACGTAAGTATATGTTTGTTTATTCTGTAGAATTTTGTACTATTATTTCTTGACATGTGACACACGTGGATTTTCCACCAATAAAAAAAATTATTATTAGCATTTGGGCAGTCCACTGGTTGCCAAGACGATTATGCACTACACACAAAATCATTTATTGCTATGGTGAACAAAATACATCTCTTTTGCACAAAATTATATTAGTAACAGTAAGTAATAAAAATGAATAATTTAATAAGCGAAAAATTATTAACAATTAATATTAATAATACTTGATGAATTTTTGTGTAAAATCTCTACCCTTTCGTACTGACAAACAGTAAACTGGAGGCATTTTTCCGACCAACTAGTCGACCTATATTCTCAAAGACCTCCTCTTCTCCATATTTACGTTTATAATTACCAAAATGTGTGAAGCTATAAGAGACCCACACTTTAATACTGTCAATGTCGCGTGATGTGCACAAGTTCTCATCCAGAGCATCCAAGTCATCGTTCAATCTCGAGTACTTCTCCTTCTCAAGTTTCGGTGTACATTTTTCTATAGGAAACCATTGATATGTTTCGGGACACAATAAGAATGAACTGTTCAATTTTCCTTTGTACCTCATCTTCGGACAGGAATGAATGTAAAATCCCATATAATAAAATTTCAAGGCTGGTACGCTTTTCGAAAGAGACTGTACAAACTGCACCTCGCTAAAATGTAAATTAGAATAAGCAGCTGGTTGAATTAGACCTACCGCAACGATCCATAGGTGCCTAGTGTCAAAAACCTATAATCTGGATCGTAAAAAAAATATACAGAACTAACACACCGTGGCAGTATATCTAAGACAGCCACGGCAATTAATTCGTCATCCAGCCAATACTGTTGGTGAAATGAGCCAAATGTCACCGCGGATGAATTGCCACGTACTCTTACTCTCTAAAATATGAGGCGCTGGTAAGTGAGCACAATCGGTTCCTCGATACGAAGCAAAAGAACATTACCTTTAAAGGAGTGTCGACTAAAAACTCACAAAATTGTTTCTCACCACACTCATTAGCCGGCTCATTGTGAACGGCCATCTGATACTTTTTAAATAATTGCGAAGATTGTTTAAAAGTAGGATGGTTTCTACTCATCCATTCTTGTTGTATCTATAAAAATTACTCTCGATAAAACAATTAATCTCGCAGTCTGCTATATCTCGAAAAGTATGACGTCACAATAATAAAAACGGTAGGAGGAAGTATACAGTTGAGTATTTGGGGCGTGATTTGGAGATGGGTCTACTGCTCATAATCAACCTTTAGGTATTTATCTTTGACTTTACAATTCATTTATTTACACCTTCTGCTCCAAATTTTAGTGACATCACTATCACTTAAAGGTGTGCCATCTTGTGATATCAAACCTTACAACAAATAGTGAAAAAAATGCACTTCCAAAACAAAACGATGGCGTTTCTGATATTTTTTTAAACAAAATCAAGTAACAATTTCCTTTAGGTTTGCTTTACCATCAATACTGTAACACTTAAGGCCGACGCGCACATATACGCGGCGAAGTGCGTTTAACGCTCACATTAATATCATACATAGGCCGCGCCGCGCTTCACCCAAGTGAGCGTTTGCCTATTTAAATCAATGTCAGCGAAAAAGGCGCGGCGTAAGTGTGCGTTCGCCTTTACTTTCATATTGTTGCAAAATCAACTATATTACTCGCTATATTATGAAATATGAAGTATTTTTCTCAGGATTCCCGTATCAGAAAAACAATTGAGCAATAGGTCATCAAAGAGAACGAACGCCCTTTATATATTTATGCAAACATTTGATTAATTTTTTAAACAACCTAACAATCACATTTTTGACAAATTTTTTCTGCTTAAAACCTAATTTCTCAGCCAACATTTTCACCTACTGAGATATAGCCGACTTCACCATTGTGAATGAAGAATTGCAACGGTTTAAAATAGTTATTCTTTTGCTTCGCATTTTTAACGATTCAAAAATAAATTGTACCTCTAATGGTGAAGATATTAGAAATCGGGTAAAACTCGCCACCGTACATTTCTCCGGAGGATCATTATGAATGGCCATTTGATACTTTCTATAAAGTTGAAATTCAATCATTTTAATTGTGTCTAACTCATTTTCAATATCTGCACTAGCGACGAGTTTGGTCTGTAAAAGAATAACTATTTTGAGCGAACATGATGAATTTCTGGATGATTTACCTTGAATTTGTATTTACTAGTGGCTGGAATTTCATTCAAAAACTCTTCGAGAGTTTTTGCTTCATTTACAGGGGGTGCCTTTTCGAGGGTAATTCCCTTTGCTCGCAATTTCTGTTGTTTTCGCTCTATCCTCAGTATTTTAGCTTTTTTGCAAGGTGCTTTGCACAGATCGGGCCCAACTGAATGTTTTTCCACAACGGTCTTTTCCACATCTGAAACATCAGTTTTTTAAATTAGATGCCACCTGTACACATTTTTGTTCTGCAGAACAAGTATGATGTTAAGTGTGAAATTTTGCTTACCATCTCTGGCACAAGAAGTTTCTATACGAACTGTGCTACTACAGCTCGGATTACTATGATCTCCAATACTTTCCATTTTAATGTCACTATTTACAAACTTGCTATAGTCAAACACAACATTCGGTTTCTCCCTAACCATAATTGGTTCATGGGGTGTACTATCATCTGCTACATTTGATGCATCACCAATGTCCTTTTGTCCTGTACCATTGGTGACAAACTTATTAAACCTCTTGATAACCTTTTTTTGAGACTTGGACAATTTAAAATCTTGGACGCTACATCTACAACATACGTCTATGCAGCAAGAAATTATTTGTACTCTTATCACTACTTGATTGTATATTGCGGACAACACGTTAGATGCATCATTGGCTTATAACAGTACATTCCCGATCTTCGCCACCCTCTATCAATTAAGTTTTGGTAATCTTCCACATTAAGCCGTTCAGCCCACATCCCTACAAGAGAAGGAAATGAATGCTGTAATCCTAGGGGCCCGAAGAAAATTACCATAGGAAACCGACCCAGTTTGGTTTTTGCAATATCCGCATTGGTGCGTTTCCAAATCGGAGAACCAATGAACGATGCTGATCTTTTCTCCATTAAGTGCGGACATCTCAAATCAGGGCTTTTTGAAAAGAATTTCTTTTATTATTCTAATAAAAACGAGAATTTCATAACATGAAGGTTGTATTGCACCATCAACGGGAGATTTCTGTTTGTGAATTGTTGGAAGTTGGAACATTGAATGTACAGGGTGGATCGAATGGCTTTCAACGCTTACATAATTATCTTGGACTCACAAATAGTTTGGGCGCTGCACCCCCCATTCAAACCCCGCATCATCCAGCCAGTTCCCAGCTCAACTACAAACGAGATCAGTGAGAGCGGAGAAGTTCCGGCCAAGGTTCAACGAGTTTAGTAATACTACGTAGGGGCGAGGGGGTCCGCAATAATGTCATTTGATTCTTCCACGCGGTTTTGCCATTAGCGTGCAAGCATACCGGCCATAGGGCCGCAGCAACTGCAATTCATTCGATTCAATTTTAATCTTCAGAACCAGCCGATCTGTTACTATACTAGCCCAGCAGAGGACCCCAACACTGCACCGTCGCCGCTCTCAATTCTCCTTCAGCTGAACACAACAGTCGTACTCCGAATTTCAAAAAACCAACAGTTTTATTTGGTCACTCTGTATATTCGCACCGCGGTAGTATTTTAACATTTAATGGTTGGTACTAGTAGTTACCATTCTGTCACCTGTTGGGGTTATGTAAACGTCATAATATTGACATTTTGGTAATCCTACGACTAAAAATCCTTCCAGAAAAATGGATTCGGGGCAATGCAGCAACGCAAATTCGGAAGAAAAACCAAAATCGTTTGCCGAGAAACAAGCAGAGCGGATGAAAAGGTTTCGTCAACTGCATACACAAAGAAACGAAGCGAGAACGCATAACCACCAGGAGGTTGTTGCCGAAGATGCCAGAAACAAATTGCCTGCCAATTGGGAAAGTCGCAAGGAACGAGCGGAATGGTTATTGAACGATCAGAAAGCGAGACAGGAGGCTAAGGAGAAAGGTGAAGACTATGATCGTACGAAATTGCTAAATATTTCGGCAGTTGAGGCAGACCGCTTTGAACGAAAGCGTAAGAAGAAGAATCCAGACGTGGGCTTTTCTGACTTCGAAGCAGCCACTAAACGTCAATACGACCGTCTCATACGAAACATGGCACCGAAAAACATGGAGAGATACGAGGAGATGAAGCAGAAATATGGCGACGCTTTCTATGGAGGTCGCAACGTAATAATTCACGGTTTACAGGAGGATCGCAAAGAAGCGGTTGATAACATGGTAAAGGATCTAGAAGATCAAATCGCAAAACGTGACAAATACTCACGAAGAAGAACGCATAACGACGACGCCGATATTGACTACATTAACGAAAGAAATGCCAAATTCAATAAGAAATTGGAACGCTTCTATGGTGAACATACAGCGGAGATTAAACAAAATTTGGAACGAGGAACTGCTGTATAATAATAAACATTTACTATATCAAAATACGCCTTTAATTTTTATCTTAGTTCTATCACATACAATTTATTTAACATTTTAATAAAAGAATTTGTGTAAATAAAAAAAATTTATTAGTCTAAAAAATAAAAAATCTTGATTTATTCTTGCTAAAGGACCCAAGAATGAACGATACCTACAAATGAAAGCCAACTATTACATTTTATTCGAAGTATATGGACAAGATATTTTGTGTTAATTTACAGATCTAACTAATTACACATTTATCTGGCAATGCAAGAGTCGCAGGACGTATTCTGGTAGTTGACAGGGGAGTTTAATAAGAAGTAGACATAGGGATCTACATGTATTGTGTTCCCCAAATGAAACCTTCGAAGGCCGCCTAATTTTATGCAACCAAAATAACTTCTTAAAACAAATAAACATCTGTTGAATATTGTTGCTTTGTATTCAACTGAAGAAAAAGTTGATATTGTCGATTGGTATAGTGCCAGTAACAGTTTCAAGCAACAATATTCAAATTAATATGACAGTCAGATCTTTATTTGTTTTCAGAAGTTATTTTCGTTGCATAAAATTAGGCGCCCTTCAGAAGAGATTTTGTCATTTAAAAGTAGACATAGTGAGACGTTTTTGACGAAATGGATGCTTTTCAGGGGTTCTTCTTTTCTCGCACGCGATACACTGTTCCACATGTCTCGTGCCCCTTGTTGGCGTGCGATTAAGGTTCATCCTGCACCCTGTGTAGTAGGTACTTGATCTAGCGTTTCATTGATGTGGGGCATAGAGTTAATAATTTATATTTACTACAAATTGTATATTGCCAGAAAGATCTGTAGATGCTCAGATATGTAAATTTACAGGTAGGTACCTACTTATACCTATAAACTAACAACAAAATAACATGTATGGTCCTTTTAGTACAAACATGCAGACATGCAGCGGTTATTTTAAGTCTTACCCTTAAGTTAATTTTAGTGCACTCCACAAATTAAAATGACAGGTGGTCGTGTTTCGACTCCCAATTATCCAAGTAACCTTCCTGTCAATTGTAATATACCTACCTCTGCAAAGTTGCCCATGAATCCAAGACAACAGAATCACATTATTAGGTTCAAAAGTATTTTTACCAAGAACTTTTTGTTAGCAATGTTATTCGCTCTACTCGTAACAAATATGAGCTCTTGGGTCACTAAAAATATAATCAATTCTTTCTTTCTATGTACATACGAACGGTTTCAAATTTTCCAATCCTGTTTTCAGTGTTATGTTTATCATCGCCTAAGGAAAAACCGATTAAATTTTCAATAACCCAGGAGTTCGTTTGCTAAATTTGTTACAGACGGACGGACGGACAGCTCACTGAAAATTTAATCCTTGGGCAAAGATGAATATAACACTGAAAACAGAATTGGAAAATTTGAAACCGTTCGCGAGTTATCATGTGCAGACGGACAGAAAGTTCAAAATCATGAACTTGCTTATGAATTTCTTAATAATAATCACAGTTACAAAACAAGCAATGAAATAAATTGAAACCTTGTCACACAACCAAACCAAATTATAATTAAAAGCATTTTTTTTAGTATGAGGATGTTCTGTCTCTTTCCCAAATTTTATTCTATCAGTCTTTCGTCTCGGATAACGTTTGTATGTACTCCCACAACATCTTCACTAGTTAACTTTCATCTTTTTTTATGCTTTGGAATTATTTTAAATACTGGGGATTTCACATATTTTGTATAACTTATAAATCTTCATAAATATTATATTACCTACTTACCTTCTTTTTGTTTAAAGGGCGTTTTCATATTTCAGTTATACTTATCTAAAAGATACTGATAATGAAACCGCCGGCAAACAAAAAATGGAATTGCAAAACAAGCATAGTATAGAAAGACGTGCTGGATGCTTCAAAACAAGGTGGATATAGAATCGAGGAGGGGGTTAGTAATAGGCTTTGTGTGGAGCATAATACTATATGATGGAAAATAATGAAAGACAAAAAAGGAATAAAAGCTTTGGAAATGCGTATATGGAAAATGTTTTTGAAGATCCGATTGAAAAAACAGGGTGAGGAATGAGGAAGTACTGAAAATTGATATTGGGACACCATTAACAAAAGAAAAAGAAATTCCTTGGGGTCACATATTGAGGAAAACTGTTTGGTAAACGATGTGACTGTCAGAAGACGGAGTAGAGGAAGAAGGAAGAAAGAGGAGACTATGTAGCACTGAAGATCGAAGGGAGTGGAGGCGGACCACTAGACATTTATTTCCATGTAACTGTCACATACTGTAACATGAAAAACCAGAGCTAATTCATCAACACGTGGGGCACACTTTAGTATTGGGAGCAGAATTTAGCCGGGGCTGATTTTCAAGTATACCTAAATGCAATGGGAGTCGACCATTCTATATCAAAAGCTTTCTGAGGTTATCGGGGTAATACACCAATTAATTAGTTAATTCACTCTGGATGCAAAACACATGAAATGCAGACACACAACGCTTAACATTATCTTACGTCTTGACATCCGTGGGGTAACATGTATATGAATATTATCACCAGGGGCTGCAGACACTATAAAAAATAAACAATTACTTTATTGTTTATGCATTTAATACAATCCACTATAATAAATATATCCCTCTCAAAAATATTCATTTTAACTTCTTTAAGGTAAGGTTAACTATAAGAGGATCGTTCTTATTAATGACAGTACCTCCAAAACAATTTCCCTCTAAAAGTAGCACATGTGAAGTTGAAAAATTTCACGTGAATAAATTTCTGGAGTGAAGAACCCTCGCCAACAAAACAAGTGGATATTGCTAGCTTGTTTGCTTAATTTGTGATAATTGACGGGTGGATATCAACTCTGATGCAGAGCACAACTTAACATTACTTCCTTTTATATAGTTTACCTTACTTAAAGTTAATAACACACTAGAAAAAATGTATAATTTTAATTTATTGCAGCATAGGGTGAGCCATTATTTATTGTTAGCCAAGTGTCATTAGTTTATTACTGTTGTACAGAATCTTACAGTTTATAACAAAATGACATGACTACAGGTACAGCGTTTTCGGGCGAGCTACCATCACCATGCGAATCTTTCTATATAAAACCACACAAGGTACTAATCCTCAATTGTTTTTAAATTAAACAAAACAAATGACTGAAGACAACATGGTGCTTCTTGTGAGGTTGCATATTCATAAGTAAGGAGATTCACCCTATCTGGTATAATAACAATAACTGTGAAGTTTCATTGGTATTGTCACATAAATCACAGTTTATTTACTCTCAGAGCCATTACTCCGCTTAACGCATTTAATCTGCACATGTAAATGGTTGCCGCCTTCGTCGCAATTGCGGATAAATATCACATAAACTTGAGTCAAGGTTAGTAGCATTAAGGGGAACCATTCCGAACGGTAGGCAGGGATTTGGAGGTTCATTTTTCGTACCGTGAAGTATGCGAGGCATTTCGCATTGTTCACACTTATCCAGAAGCGGATGATTTTGGAATGTACACATGTGGCAATTCCATTTCGGATCTTCCATCTCGAGGGGGACTGTTTGTCTCGGATTCTGCCTCGATTCGACACGTTCAGAAGACCCTAAAGTTATTGGACCACGTTGACCTGTATATATATTATGATAGAACTCCTCGCTCGTTTCGCCTAAAGGAACTGCAAACCGAAAAGGAACATGATCGGAATAGCGGAGGTTTGCATACTTACATCTCGATTCAGAATGTCGATCCACATCATACGTAAGCCGCTCGCATTGACCTCTTAAATGTCTAATTTCTTTTTGTAGTTGCTTTTCTATCTCCGCGTCAACTTTGCACGTTATCGAATTTGGTGTTTCTAATGATATTATCTCCTTCTGCATTGCGATTAGGCGTCCCTTTTCAGTTATTAATTCTATTCGCAGTCTTTCAATATGAGCTTGCTGTTTGCTTATCACAGACGCTATAACAAAAAATTTTAGATGAAATACCAAACGTATAAAAAAAATTTTTGAGTGTCCGAATTTCAATTATTGACTTGCCAAACTAGAAAAATAAATGTTGTATGTGAAAAGTACAAAAGTGACAAATGACTTTGAATGCAGTCGAACGTGTGGACAGTCTCCACCCCCCTTTGTTAATGCTCAAGAAATAAAGAACATGAGTAAGGACAGGAGATCATGCTTTTATGCATTATGTAAATATTGTATGCAGCTTAAAATAAATCAATAATTTACACGAACTAACAAAAATGAATCCATTGGCGCAAAGAAAATGGTGCATATTTTGCATTTTTGGTGTTTTTGTGCATATTAAAGATACATTAGCATTTTATTAACTTTTTAAACCATTTCTATTACAAAACAAGTTTCCAGTGGTAGTGATTGCAACAATTATATTTTTATTTATAAATTATAAAGATAAACAAATAATAATAAATCAAATAACATAAAAATTATAAAATAGAAACAGAACAAAAAAAAATAATAAAAATAAAAAAAAGAAAAAGAAAAAAAGAATAGAAAAATAAATAAAACACAAATAAAATAAGTTTGTCAAATTATAAAACGTCAGTCATTTTCAAGTTCAACAAATGAGATGACGAATGTTGGCCGAGGAAAATGTTGAACATTAGAACCTCATCTGATACCTCAACTAAAGTACGCTCCAATTGCTCGTTTCGATGTGGAAAGATGTTTCTCTGTCTATAACAACGTACTAAGTAACAGGCGCACAAATTTTAAAATGGACTACTTGGAACAATACTAATTATTCATTAATTGTTTTAATACAGCTTATATGTTTAAATAGTTTGAATTAAAGAAATTTCAATAATTTTTTGTGATTATTTAATTTTTCGTGCATATCTTCATGCATGCATACGTATGTGCATTTTTGACATGTTTTCATGCATATAAGTCTGGTCCCTAAACATGAGTAGTGTTGTGAAATTGCCATAATTTATTTGGGAATATTCCAGAACTTTCGAGAACATTCGGAAATTTTCAGTAAAATTCATCTTTTACTAATTACGTTACACCAAAGACCGAATCAATCTTTTAATAAAGTTATTAAAAATAATAAAACGGATCTAAGCTTTAAATTGTTGCATTAACATCAATCAACTGTCTCAGTTCATATAGCATAATAAATACTGCACCTTCAAATCAAAACTCGAAAAATTCAAACAATAAATAAACTCACTCAAAATTCAAAAATAATATTGCAGATTCGTAAACTTTAAAAAAATCTAAAACATTCACGAAAATGCAGAAAATTCTATGGTGCAGATTTTAAAATTTGATTCTTGAATAATACTTGAATAACTTTCCCTCGAACTTTCCCGAGAAGAACTACTACACGTATACGTATTCATTGTTGCAATGGGAACATTTCCGGAAATACTGCAAAATTCGTTGGGAAATATTCGTGGCTCACAACACTAAAGATGAGACCCATAATCACTTCTCTTTGGATGTCTGCTCTGTACGTTTAGCTAAACCACCCCCTCTATTAAATGCTGACTAAATTGCAAATGTAGGATTAATTTTTCGATTTAAAACTTTTGAATTAAATGGAAACGGTTGAGTTCCGAGTTGAGTTCTCGGTTGAGTTAGATAGTTCAAAAATGCTACAATTCTCGTTTGTAATTTATTTCCATCCGATTTACCCATTTCTGGGGCTTTCAGCTTAATGTCAAAGTAGCACCATCAACTTCATCAAATGAGCGGAGCAATAAAAATACATTATGTACTATTATATTTAACATTGAATGTTGATGAGGCCGCATGTTAATGAACACTTTGCGTGATATTTATGCAATAAATTAAAATAAATTGAAACGCTATAGACACCTACCCATTAGATTTCGCTACTCACTAGAGCTGCGACCACATGTCATACTACCAGATTGAATTTTTACAATGCATTAAAAAATTGGGTTTTATAAACCAATTCATTTTTCTCATTGCCTCATAGTATGAAATTTCCATTTAGGAAATAAACGACTCAATTCCTCAAAACCTTCCCCATGGATAAATATTTGTGCAGGTTTTGAGGAATTGAGTCGTTTATTTCCTTTATGGTTCATCACCCCCATTTAGAGCATGGATCAACCACCACCACGAGTTTTTTCCAAATTTCCATTTATCTACTGTGAACAGCACTTGACTTGTTGGCGATCTTTATATTCTGATATCAAAGCATACCGTTGAGAAGTTTTAATAGCCCTCATATGAACCAGTTACGGGTCCCGGTCCCGGTAAAACTAGTCGGAATGTTTAAAAAATTCGCAATTTTTTAATAGCTCGCCGGTAATAAATTTCGATTTTTGTGTATCAATTTTAATGTCATTACTTCCTGATACCGCATTCGCATTCCTAGGATCTTTGCCAAGAGTTTTCTTAATATAGCAAAAGTTAGTTCCTGTGCGAAAGTGGGTTACGTCACTAATTTAATGTAAGTAATTTCGCTAAAGGTAGAAACCGTCGAGAATTCCATTAGTAACACTCTCATTTATTAGCTCTTTGTTCCAAAGCGAATTGCATCGAGACGAATGAAGATGCCAAAGTCTGGAATGCAAGACGCCGAGCTCGACGCCGAGTAAAAATGCACTTCGATTTTTTTTTTGAAGATCGTATGTGACGGGCAGCCGTTTTGTATCATAATTTTTATTTCAGATTACATCCACATGGTGAAGTGGATCACAGGAAACGCCGCCTGAAAATCTGGAGTGTAGGTATGAATTTCATCACATTTTGACATGTACTTTTCCCAATCTTGGAACTGTTTGAAATTATGGATTCTACAAGCCACATTCTATAAGAAAATTTTTGTTCCGGGTCGATCTGAGACAATCTTTTTTCGGGGCTCAAAAAAAGGCAGTTATTACCTTCCTTTTTTACCAAAAATCGACTGCACCAAAATTTCTCGGGAAAACACTTGTTTCTTATTAATTTGGGCGCGTAGAATCCAAACCAATTCGTACTTTTTCGATCAGACTTCTCAGTCAAAAGTTATAGACTAGAAACCAATTTCGAAAAAAAATTCAAAGGGCTGTAACTTTTGGACTAGTAGCCCAATCTTAGAACTGTTTGAAATTATGAATTCTACAGGCCACATTCTATAAGAAACATTTTTTTCCGGGTGTCGATCTGAGACAATTTTTCTTTCGGGGCTCAAAAAAAGGCAGTGTATAACCAGGGGCGCACTGGCCCGGGGGGGGGGGCACGTTTCTCTAATTGGGGTTGATGTTAGGTTGTTAAAAAATTCTGTTTTAATTGAAGTGTACAATTTAATTGAAGTGTTTTACAATGAATTTATCATTTTTTGTCGTAGCATGAAAGTGCTGAAATACAATGATAGGCGACGCACCTCGTGTGGATTGTATATTTTGTTACTTTTAATTATCAGCTGCAATTAAAAAAAAACTGTATGGTAATTTATTTTCGAGAAAGGAGTACTTTAAAATGTTTTTGTGGTGCACCTCAGAGCCCCCCCCCCCCCCCACCTTCATTACTACACTAATACTTTAATGGCCCGTAACCTATGCAATTCCACCTGGCCCGCAGTTACCCAGTCCGCCCCTGGAAATGACCCTATACGCCCTCGGCTACACCCCATTTCGTATGCAGTTAAACCCCCATAAATCATTCCCGAAAATAACTCTAAACTAATAGATACAATATATTCTATGCAAAAAATACTTGCTTCAAAACTATCGTATATACAGGGTGACAATTTGAAAACTTACCACTCCCCATGTCTTAGTAAATAAACGAGATATTTTAAAAAATCAAAATCCGTTTCGGTAATTCGGAGGGGGAATCACAATACAGGGTGGCAATTTGAAAACTTACCACCCCCCATGTCTTAGTAAATAAACGAGATATTTTAAAAAATCAAAATCCGTTTCGGTAATTCGGAGGGGGAATCACAATGACATAGTTGGCGACACACCCCCTCCAAGCCCCTGCGCCTCAGCCACTCCTACTTTTAAATCTTAAATAGCATTGAATAAAAACACTATAAGAAGCCTAACCCCGTGGAAATAAAGCGCGACAGAGATTGAACTGAGAATATAATGGAAACACTGTCAATAGTGTCGATTCTTGAACTGAGAAGAATGAGAATTTGCTTTCCTCCTATTTACCGCAAAGAGAGTTCGGTGATCACAACCAATGCCGGTGCAAGGGGATTTGTCGCGCTTTCTTCCATAAGCGTTAGGCTTCTTATAGTGTTTTTATTCAATGTAAATAGTGACCCCCCCCCCCCATGTGTGATACGTTGTGGGAAAGCTCTGGAAAAATGCTTTCCAACCATAACCAAATAGCATTACATTTAGGTTAGTAATTGTCGTGCAAATCAAAAAATAAACTAATATGATTATGGTCCCGCTTTTCGGAAAGTTAAGAATTGATAATTAACCGGCGTTCAAATCCCCGAGTCAGTTTCCTCACGAAAAGTGGTGAAGATGGTCTAGCTAGATGACCAAGGATTCAAAAAATGATAATGAACTGTGTACAACTTCGGTGATAACTCGTAATTATAATTAGGTACGACCTGACCCCCCCCCCCATGTGTGATACGTTGTGGGAAAGCTCTGGAAAAATGCTTTCCAACCATAACCAAATAGCATTACATTTAGGTTAGTAATTGTCGTGCAAATCAAAAAATAAACTAATATGATTATGGTCCCGCTTTTCGGAAAGTTAAGAATTGATAATTAACCGGCGTTCAAATCCCCGAGTCAGTTTCCTCACGAAAAGTGGTGAAGATGGTCTAGCTAGATGACCAAGGATTCAAAAAATGATAATGAACTGTGTACAACTTCGGTGATAACTCGTAATTATAATTAGGTACGACCTAGAAACATTGAAAATAACCAAGTAGGTACTAAAACTAACGAGGCCGTAGGTATTAGTTTATTATTCGTATTTAAACGACAAAAACCTTTAACCGCACCGCAAACTTTTATTCGGAAGCCCGCTCGTAATGACACTAATAAACAGTTCTAAAAATAAACGTACGAAAAGAATTGTATTTTTATAGCATAATATTTAGCGGCCTTGTCGATGTGAAAATAACGTAGTGCAGGTTGCGTGGGTGAACTTCTGGATATAAATAATCGAAGTGGGTTTGTTATGCGCGCCGCACACCTGATGGTCTCTTAACTACTGTTTTGATGCACGCACACCAGACATTCCTGGAATACATTCCGCAATGAGAGGAATTGAAATTTTTACGAACAATTAACGGTACCGCTTCGGTGACGAACGTAACGGTGGTCGATACCTACTCAATAATAAAAATAACGAAACGGTTTCAAATGATTTGTTTTGGCACACAAATTTATAATTTCGGTTTGCCAGCGGAGGAAATGTCTTTCTGTATTATTAGCAAAATTAATTGCCTCTCATGATATTCACGCACCTGCAATTTTGCCTCCGCTATTTTCGGAGGACAATTAACGCCAATTTGAAGGGAAAAAAGTTTGTCGAGGTCGCCTGAATCACCCAGAGTTCATTAGCAGCAGGTACCTTGGTTCTCTCCTCCACGCAATTACTCACCCTATTCCGACACGAATGTGAAATGAGAACGGCGCTTACTTGTATTTTTTAATAATTGTACAAAACGTGCAAAACATATTTTGGGAAATCTGTCAGGCAAACAGATTTTTACGCTCACGATTATCTATTTTTGAAGTCCTTTGTGGATTTACCAATAATTTTAAAAACCCGCAATGTTGCAATCTCCGTCGGCGATCTACATATTACGACTTTATCGGGAGCGGATAACATCCTCTCTGTGACATTATTTTTTTGAAAGCGAATACGGCAGTCCCTCAGTGATCATCGCTGGATCCATTCCTTTTCTTGCGAACTGTTATAAAATAATCTGGACGAGTTACAACTATAAAAATCAGGAAAAAGTTCACCTTAAGTACCACGTTAAGACAATCATCCACAACCAAGAACGAAGCATGGAAACCTCGTCGGAAACGTTTCATAAATTGTGTGTTCAAAGTCAAGTTTTAAAATCCGTAATAATAAAAATAGAACTGATAAGACCTCACATGATTGATATGGTCGTATGATGCGAGCATGTAAAAAACATAAATACTTCCTTTATCAATTCGGTTATCTCTAATAGTCCAGGGAAAAATTGTTAATGGATCTTTGCCAAGTGGATATGTTAGAATGTTATATAACAAGTACCCAGCAAATACAAAAGTAAATTTTTTTGAGTGGGACCTGGGAAGTACTTGCGAAGGGTGAAATGGCAAAAGTTTGAGGTCAGAGACAAAAGTGTTCACTGAAAAAGTAGATCATGAAAAATCTACAACTTTGCATTTCATCACATAACCGAAAAAATTGCGGAAAACAGTTATTTTTTGTGTTTATTGTTTATTTCCGCCAAACATGATTTTGTTTTAACGAGACTTTTTTACTCGCTTTTTTATGTTTCAAATAACTACACATTTTTTCATTATAAAAAGTGAACAGCTTCTGTTTAGAAACAAAATCGCATCGCACTTGTTCGTAAAATTGGGTATTGTAGGTATAAGTACGCCTACAGGGTGTCCCATTTTCGACATTTTTATAGGTTAAATTGTTGGTGCCATCAAGAAGTACCTAATAAAGGATGTTGTGTATGTATGTGTAGGTATATGGGGTCAGGTAAAAAAGTAATCGGACCTAACCTTTTTTTTACTGAGACACCCTGTATATTTTATTTTAAAAAGGTAGCATATTAAATTCTTTTTCCAAAAATATAACAGTAAAGAAATTCATATAAATTCGATATTCATTTAAAAAGATTCAAGATTATTTAATACCACAAACAGAATCAATAGGTATAGCTACGTTTGTTTCGGAAATACAGGGTGAAAACAAAAAGTTTGACTTTTTTGGATGTTATATCTTACTACCCATGTAAGATAGAATAGAAAATCGAGGAAAAAAGGTAACAACTGTTTGAGATAATTTTACGTAGAATCCAGTGGCGTAGTAGAAAAAAATTGTTTGATCCCTGTTTCTGAAATTTGACCCAAAGTTGGTATTTTTTAAATGCAACATGTGTTTATTGTATCCATGGCGACTAAGAATTATAGAAATTTACCAGACAATGTAATGTTACTGAATTCGTTTTTGGAAAAAAAGTTGTAGATTTTTCACGATCTACAACTTTCCCACTGAACACCTTTGTCTCTGACCTCAACTTTTGCCTCAACACTCCCTTGCCCACATATTATTTTTTTGGTATTTGTTATAGACCATTCTAACACATCCATTTGGTAAAAATCCATTAACACTTTTTTTGACCTAAAATCGGACCGAAAAAAACGTGCTACTTACACGTCACATTTGTCGCTAAATCAGGCATCGAGCCGGCTCTAACAGGTACAGTCTCTTCAATCCTTTCCTCCTGAACACAATAACTGCTTCTAGGCCTCGTCCTAATAGATGAAACACTACCTCCCCCTGGTCCCACCGTGATTTGCAGGCGGCTCTGTAAGCCCTTCTGCGAGTCAAAACTGCTCGTGGAATACGTTAGACTTGAATTTTGCGATGTAATGTCGATTGGAGGTTGGGGTTCGGTCGAAGGTGGTCTTAAGGTTAAGTTAACACTGGTGTAGCTCCTTTGGGATGGCGGATTTTGACACCAGGGCATCTGGGGGGTTAGCTGAAGCGCGGTGCTATGTTTTGGTATAGTTGGCGATTGAACTAAGTCCATTTGGCAGTTTACATTTAGGGATAAATTAACGCCGCCGAGCAGCGTGTCCGAGGTTTGTGTGGGTGTCTCGGCGGTTTCCGGCCGTTTGGAAGGCGAGTCTAGCCTTTTCGACGCACTGCCGACGAATGAGTTAAAACCAGATGGAGAGTGTGACGAAACTCCGCTAACCGAATAGTTACCACTGTCGAGTGAACCCTGATATTGTGACTTTCTCGGGGTTTCCGGTGAAGGCAATGGTGATTTGGTATTGTCTGACTTTGTTGGGGAGTTTTTTGTACTTGCAAGACGTTTGGAAACTACGGGCGATCTTGGGGGCTTCACGTTTAGGTTATCTGTATTCAGAAGTTTTTGTAAATCAAAGCAACGTTCGGAGGGCTGAATTTTATTAAACCCGCCCGTTTTCGATTCATCACTAGTTTTAATATCCAAACGATTCGGCCTTTGCGGTGAACTTTTTTTCTCACTGACACTCGCACACTCGGGCGCTTTTACGTAGAACACACTCGATTTAACAACGTTTCGGTTAATGTCACTATCACCTTCGTTCATTTCGGATCGGTCGGACGATTTGGGATTGTCGGAATTTTGGCTAAGCGAAGGTTCCAAAAGGGAGACGGTAGGATCGATTGGTTTCGCTAGTGTTCGGCCCATGAGCTCTTGATTTTCAGCCAAGCGTAAGGCCGCCGCTGCTTCTAATACTTGATGAAATGTAAACGTATCTCGATCAGGATCACCTTCCGGAATGTTCCGGTTGGCGTACTCCGATATGCAAGCTGTTACAATGTGATCGGGTACTGTAGGAAATTGCTGCTTCAGTTCGTGAAACAACTGCATGACTCGAATATTAGAGGATCTTCGCCTTCCTCCGGCAAACATGGCCGGCCATTATGCTGGCGACACTAGAAATAAAAAAGAAATTATTTATTTGACACTGCCCTAACTATAACTAGACTATAACTATAATATGGGTCGATAAAGCTTATTGTTACGTTAATATTATAATCTTAGAAAAAGTTCTGACAATTAAAAAATGAGGGTCAAACTTCACGAGTCAAAGGTGCACTTTTTTGGGGTTCTGTCAGGATCATCAATATGTATATGTATATAAAATACTCTACCTCGAATAGATATAACAATTTCCCATTCATGTAAATACGCTTAGATAAATAAGTTAGAGTAATATGTTGGTAAAAGAAGAACCTGTCATTTCATTGACAAGTCCTATTCCCCCATTCCCAATTGTACACACTCCTAACACACTAAGAGCGCATTCGGGTAGTTACTGGACTACTAGTTACTTTATAAACTTTTCGTGAGCTCAGGACGCGTCCGTGCGCTACGAACGTTCGTGAGAGAGTTTTGCATTTAACCCTAAAATATAAACATAGTTTATGATATTTAAATATTCCCATAAGAAATGTAGCGTAGCGGGGAGTATTTTTTTTGTGAATATTGCCTGACCACAGTTCTAGAGAGTTTTTAATTCAGAACATTTTACGAGGTTTTTTGGATTGATTTTTCGTGGAGCTATTCCAATGAGTTATCAAAAACTGTCAAACGTGAATTAGCCCCCCCCCCCTCATTTTTATAATTATTGAACTACAATGTTCAGAAGAACGTGATGACAAGGTGCATTTTACTTTAAACATATGAGAAGATATTTCCGAGGATATTTCACGAGATATTTGTACCTACGTCATTCGACTACATGTGTAGCAGTGCCCCCTCCCCCTCTCCCATACCATTACAATTGTGTAGAATATCGTTTTTGTCGAAAAAAACTAAACTAAACTTAAATAGGTACGTACCTGATATGAGGAATCAAGGCTGTAATTATTAAAGATCAAAGATTAAAGCAAGTAATGGGGAATTGGCTATTGATTGCCTATAATTACCTCGATAATTACTTACAGAAAAAAATGCCTAACCAAATATTTAGCCAAGCTTAAATAATTTATGATTTCGGATTAAAAATGAACTAAATATCTAGGACAATTTATGACGTAGCTGATTCAAATATTTGGAAGAGCAAAAAAATTGACAATGTTCTAGAGATAAACACAAACAAACAGGTGGCGAAATGTCGCGAATCCGCACAGACCGTGCCGTTACTTTTTACTGGCATGGCACGAGCTTCACTGGAAGTGACATTTTCCACTGACCAACAATAATGTTGAAGGTCAAAGTGATAACGTGTATACATTCGCCTCGACATTCGCTCATGCAGCACGCCGAGCCAGAAATTAAGAGATTGGCGAAACATTTCAAAAATGCAAAACACGTGCAGAGATCGCTATTAATTAAGGAATTAAGAGATTTATTTTTGGATTTACAGTACCGGTGATCAAAAACGTCTTAAAGGGACGTAATTCTGGGGAGTAGGAATAGATGCAACAACTCTGGATTTACAGGCGAAGTTAATTTGCGTCCCGGTCGTTTTTTTAAAATATTTACATAAAAAAATAGTATTATTTTTTAAAAAAGATAGAGCGGGGGCGTGTTTACGTCACTAGTCTTTGACGCGTTACATTCCTTAGGGAAAACTGTGGGCGATATAATCAGGTGTAAATCAAACTTTTTCTAATTTGGTTATTGTGTAAAACGGGCTTTAGAAACAATTAAAAGTGCAGACAAAGCGAAGAAGTACCAAAACAGTAGAAAAACGTCAAAAATTAAGGTATAGAATACGCACCGAGGATTACATATCAGCGTGTTCACTTAAGGACGGGAAGAACGGTATTCGGACTGTGAACAGTTGCTACGAACCGCACTTGTTTTTTTTTACAAAATTTTCAGTTTAAAAACTCGAACAAATAAGGTCGAAATGTAACAAAAACGAAATTTTCTGCACTACCCACTTATATCACATGTCACAGACTAAAGTTGAAGTTTAGTTTGGAACACAAATAGAAATTTTTTGTAGAATTAGAAAGTATACAATGCATGTAGCGCCACGACAATAAAACAACTTTTTTTAATGGTTTGAAACTTTACTGTCTTACGGCAAACCACCATGAGGTAGGCAACACACAAAGCATCTATGGCAATACTCTTGCTTGCAATTAATTTTAAGCACTCAAAAAGTGACCAAAACGGGAAAAGCCCAAAATTTAGTTCTTTTCACAATGGCAAATTAAGACATTACCCTGCCCTTTTTTTTTGGGAGTACTACAAACTGCCACAGACCAAATACAATACATATTACATAATGTTCCCTCCCATTTTCCGCCCTCGGGACCCTTGTAATAGTTTTTGAGGGAAAACCAAGGGTGGACGGGCGCAAACAACGATAATCTAGTAGTGATCACCCTTGCTGTTGCACACTTGATCCCCTCTACTGATTAATGCATTGAAAATGCGCTAGTTACGGGCCTTAGGGTGAAAACCTTTTTTATTTTAAATGAATACTCTCTCCCAAGATATTCACATTTACAGTTGTTAGCCCACCGCAAAATATATAAATGACATACCATGTATTTACAGCTTAAATAAATCTTAAAAAAGCACCCATAGGAAAAGAATTATGAACGAATTAACAAAATAAAAACCCACATATATTTGTGTAGCTTGGAATCATAAGAAGTGTATTACTTATAATAGATCATAAAAGTAATCAAGCCCCTGTCCTAACTCCCAAATGGATACGCCAGTGCCCAACTCTTTGGTTAACTCAATTCGTTGATTAATTGACTGCAACGTTGGATAGAAAACCATTTGCTTACCCTCGCTTGTCCTAAAATGTCATTGGGTTCATTTCACTCAACTCAAAGAAGAGGAAGAGTACCTGACTTGAAAGTAATTTTCCTCTGAATTTGAGTCGTAAAGTAGCTGCCCTTTATACTGCTTTAATAAGTCCAAGTACTGATGACCTACAATAGGACCTCCGCCGGTAGCTGTATACGCATTGCCATAAAAATTGAAGCCGGTTAAAATCTTGTCGTGTTTCTTTGGATCTGATGTTAAGAACGAAATGCATTCTTTCACCCACTGTATTGGGGCATTTGGTCCTGGACGTTGTATGTTCGAAAAATCATAAGTCATTAATGAGAAAGCGGTGAGATGATTATATAACGCGCTGTAGTGCTCTCCGTTAAACATGCTCACCCCATCTCTCTGTGGAGGTATCACTAAAATTGTGTCCAATCTCCTTTCCCTCAAATAGTCACCTAGAAAGTTGCATAGAATTACCAAAGTTACCAGCCAACGTACTAATGTTCTTTATTAGCTCTACGAGGACAGATGCGTCACGAAGGCGACTGGCAATTTGTGGCCAAATCTCCAAGACATATCCATCAAATTTCCACTTCTTGGCGGCTTCAGTTATTGTTTTGCTAAAAGCACGTACAGCATCAGCATTTCCCAATAAGTCACTGTAATCGTCATTCGTAAATCCCTCAATTAAAATTCTGGGAACCACTGTAAGCGAATGAGTTACATCAGAAAGTAGGGAACTGTAGATATACTTTTAACTTTAATCCGTGCTCCGGCCTTACGCACGTCGGTCATCCAGTCACGGTCAACATCATGTGTGCCTGTCACTTCGTATTTTAAAGAACCTTTCGGGCGAATTTGTAACCATACGGGGCTGATGTGAGTGAATTTGTTTCCAAACTGCTTTGCGATGTCATATCCATGACTATTCCACTAAAAAGCGAACGGATGAGAACACTGCACTGTTTTGAATGACGTACCGGTGTAACGTATCCTAAAACTATACCATCTATGTTAGCCTCGTCGGTCTCTGCGTAGTAACTTTGGTGATTGCTGATAATGTCATTTGGCGAAGGGCTCTCCGTAATTAAACCTCTTTCCTTTACATTTTTATCAACAGGACCTGCTATTGCCTTCTCTACTTTTTTATTTTCCTTATTGCTCTTTGGAGATTTAGGAGTTAAAGTCGCTCTACTCAAAACTACCATGAAATATGTACAAGCTATTGTGTTTAGTAGCCTCATTTTTACAACAACTGGTGTTTTACTTTTATCACAATCGCAATTCAAACAAATAACCTAAAAATAGGTTAGATATTCAAATTTACCACGTCTTTTGAACATCGTTGCCAAACTGTCAAGTGAACGCGGCAACGTAGTGAAATGCACTGTTGTGGTTTACATAACCTCAAAAAAACGCGTATTATATACGTGATGTTAATTGTACATGAAAACCGCATATCTGGAATATCAAAATGACTACACCACCAGCCGCGTTGGTAAATAGAAATAAGAAGCATTTTTTAGGAGTTCCAGCCCCTCTCGGTTATGTAGCCGGAGTCGGAAGAGGGTAAGTTTCGCTTCGATTTCTTCACCTCTAACTTCCTTATTTATAGGGCGACGGGATTCACCACACGTTCGGATATTGGTCCAGCACGAGATGCTAACGATGTCTCGTGAGTTTGACAAGTTTTGTGTAATCGCATAGCTAATTGGTGTATTGTAGCGATGACCGACATGCTCCACCGGCAGCCAAACGTACAAAGAAGAAAGAGGAGGAAGAGGAAGATAAGGTAGTTTGTATATACAGTTTAGAAACGATGAGCGCTGCTTTTTAATTATAGTTGGCAAAATGAATAAGTTTAAATACTGCTCAACAATCTCTACCAATCTCGTAGTGCTATCTGTTTTTAAAACAACGATACGTTCAAGTAGAATTCACTAATTATTAGTTTTATTCTTAGAAGTGGGATGTCCCTTAAGTCCTAATCAAGGTCCTATTGAAAGAGCCTTTTCGAGTATTAATCATTTTGGTGCTGCCACAGTATTTCTTCTAGAGCTCGCTCTTTTTTATTGATCTGTTGTTTTTACCCAGATGACACTATGTGCGGTTCTTGCTGCCATAAGTCTGCTATCCAGAGCTGGGCAGAATACTTTCAAAAAGTATTTGAATACTAAATACTTTTACGTCGAGCACAAGCGAATACTAGATACAGATACATTGAAAAGTATTCAAATACTTTAAAAAATAAGTATTCGAGTACTTTCAAAAATATTCGAATACTTTCAAAGGTATTCGAATACTTTCAAAAGTATTCTAATACTATCAAAGGTATTCGAATACTATAAAACTCACTCACACTCAAATACATTAACAATTTAAAATAGTATACTAGATAAAAGTCTACTACTTAAAAAATCAAGTTATACTTTGTATGGGGTTTGCTTTATTTATATTTCTATTGTTATATACAAATTTAAGGGGAGTAAAAGCTTATTATTATTATTATTATATAGGAGGTACCTACCAGGACCTTTCTTATACCAGATATATCCTTAAGAATATGTGTACCAGTTTTTAAAGCGTCGTGCACATGATACGTACGCCTTTCTGAAATTAATCCTAGCGATTTTGGGACATATCCATTTTTGACCATCCGTTTGTCCGTGTGCATGATAATTTGTTTAGAAACGTGCGATCGCTTTGAAAATTGGTACACATGGTCTTAACGATATAAGAAAGGTCCCTATTGTTTTTAAGTCACGTAGACTATCGAGTCAAAGAGTTTCACTCCAGGATCGTTTGGTATTCAGTTGTATCGGATTTTTGTATTTGATTTTGTGACAATGGAAACTTTCTCTAAACATTTCTAAATTGTTCTCAAATATTTGAATAACTTAAAAGTACTGCCTTTTTTTGAGGCCGGAAAAAAAAATGTCTGAGATCGACCGGGAAAAAACATTTTCTTATAGAATTTGGCCCGTAGAATCCATAATTTCAAACAGTTTGAAGATTGGGCTACTAGTTCAAAAGTTACAGCCCTTTGAATTTTCTTTCGAAATTGGTTTCTAGTCCCTAACTTTTGATTGAGAGGTCTAATCGAAAAAGTACGAATTGTTTTGGATTCTACGCACCAAAATTAATAAGAAAAAGTGTTTTCCCGAGAAATTTTGGTGTAGTCGATTTTTGGTAAAAAAGAAAGGTTATACACTGCCTTTTTTTTAGGCCCGAAAAAAAAATTGTCTCAGAGCGACCCGGAAAAAAAATGTTCTTATAGAATGTGGCCTGTAGAATCCATAATTTCAAACAGTTCCAAAATTGGGCTGCTAAATCAAAAGTTACAGCCCTTTGAATTTTTTTTCGAAATTGGTTTTTTGTCCATAACTTTTTATTGAGAGGTCTAATCGAAAAAGTACGAATTGTTTTGGATTATACACACCAAAATGAATAAGAAAAATTGTTTTCCCGAGAAATTTTGGAGTAGTCAATTTTTGGTAAAAAAGGAAGGTTAAGTATTCAAATACTATGCGAAGTATTCGAATACTTCTCTAAGTATTCAAATACCTTGTGAAGTATTCGAATACTTTACGAAGTATCCAAATACTTTACGAAGTATTCGAATAACGGGAGATCAAAAATGAGTTGCTGTCGAGTCGCCTTTGGAAGTTTAAGTTAAATACGATTTCCCATGTAAACAAAAACTTCAAAGGTCACTCGACAGCAACCCATTTTTGATCGCATGGTACTAAATATTTGTGAAAGTATTTGAGTTACAAATACAAATACTGCTTCCATAAAAGTATTTAATTACAAAGTATTTGAATACTTTAAAGGATTTGAATACTAAAAAGTATTTACAAAGTCGAATACTGCCCAGCTCTGCTGCTATTACACAAATAATTTCAACAAGGACAGTATTAGGTATGGGAACAACAATTGAAGATCAAGAACAGTATCCCTAACTCCTAATTTTGTTGATTGTGGGGATAATAAGCTTCATCTTTTTCCCAGGGAAATTTTACGCTTCTCTCCAATGTTGACCAACTTGCTAAAATGCCAGTTTTTGACCAAGTTTTCCCTCTTCTAAGAAATAGCAATTGTTTTTAAAATCGTATCAGCTATGCACATCTCACAAATACTAACAGACAAAGCGCCCTTTTGATTGGTCAATTATAATAATATCGAGAGCGGCATGCGCACTCACCACGCACACGCAATGTGCAATGTCTTATTTATGGAGTAATTTAATCGTAATTTCTAGGGTAGGTCTCTAATAAAAGCAAACAAAACTCCATATGCAAAAAAATTTGAACTACATTTTTATGGTATGTCCCTCTAATAAAAGCAAACAAAATGCACGCGCTTAAAATCGTACTGCGCATGCGTAATGGGTAACTTTCTTATTTATGGAGCAATTTGAACCAAATTCTTATGGTAAGCCCCTCTAATTAAAGAAAAAAAATTGTGAATGATATCGAGATTTCTCTCAATATTATTGAGTGTGAGCAGGGGTGATGTAGTCTCATGCGCCATACTAGTCGGCTTTTATGAACCGAATCAAATTTTTTTTCGCCTATTAGGAAATTCCAAAGACACTTAAAAATAAATCCTAAGTACATTCTTGTAATAATAAAAAAATTTACATAAAAAAACAATAAAGTAAACCAATATAAAACGGTAGCTGTTAATAAAAATGCGTCCGTAAGGACCTATCTAGTTTCTGCATAAGAAATAAATAATGTATTCTGTGGGTTTGTGATGTTGGACGGGTCAACATACTTTTTGAAACTACTAATTGTTATAGGGGCGTAAAATTTCATTTAAACGGCGCATAATTAGCGCCTAAGTATAGATTCGTTTAATACACATTAATCGGCTATGACCTCTACAATCATTGGAAATCACTCACAAGGACTTCAAAGATGTGTCTAATGACTTTAGGCGCCGTCTACGAGTAATTTAGTTTTCGAACCGCCCCTCGCCGTCGATTGATCTGCCGCCTAACACCCATAGCATAATGTGGTGGAGCCTCATCTTGTTGAAAGTGTAAATTTCTTTTTTTTTATATTTTCACCTACAGAGGTGTCAAACAAAAAATCGACGTGTGCCTAAATGTGCATTTAAGCGAACCATAAAGACTACTTATTTTGAAGTTACGTGGCTAACTTCAAGTGGGCCAACTAGTCACAAAATGAAAAATCGCTTTACTCACTTGTTTTTATCTCAGGATGATGAAGATTTGAACGATTCAAATTATGACGAATTCAGTGGTTACGGAGGTTCACTTTTTGCCAAAGATCCATATGACAAGGATGACGCCGAAGCTGACGCTATATACGAAGCCATTGACAAACGAATGGACGAGAAGAGAAAAGAATATCGAGAGAAACGGCTAAAGCAGGAGTTGGAAAGGTATCGCCAGGAAAGACCGAAGATACAACAGCAGTTTTCTGATTTGAAACGCGATTTAATTACCGTAAGCGATGACGAGTGGCGGAATGTACCGGAGGTGGGCGATGCAAGAAATCGCAAACAGAGAAATCCAAGGGCGGAAAAGTTTACGCCTCTACCCGATAGTGTGCTAGCACGTAATTTAGGGGGAGAATCCTCTACATCGATTGATCCGACTTCTGGGTTAGCCAGTATGACGCCCGGCGTTGCGACACCTGGTAACGTAGTCCAGCCCTCTATGAGGATCCTTGTTTACTGTAGAATTTAGGTATGCTAACCCCAACCGGTGATATGGATTTACGGAAGATAGGACAGGCTAGAAATACACTTATGAATGTTAAACTGTCACAGGTTAGAACAGTGTAGGTAATTTAAGTATTTTCTGAAGTTCGTTTTAGGTTTCTGATTCTGTGACGGGCCAAACTGTTGTCGATCCTAAGGGGTATCTTACAGATTTGCAATCTATGATCCCGACATATGGCGGAGATATCAATGACATTAAAAAGGCTCGATTGCTATTAAAATCGGTTAGGGAAACAAACCCAAACCATCCGCCTGCCTGGATTGCCACCGCTCGTCTAGAAGAAGTTACAGGTAGGCAATGGCAGATTTACTGATGGTCGCATTTAATTCTTGCAGGCAAAATTCAAGCGGCACGTAATTTAATAATGAAAGGTTGCGAAACTAATGCTCAAAGTGAAGATTTATGGTTGGAAGCTGCCCGTCTGCAACCTCCTGATACGGCTAAAGCTGTTATTGCGCAAGCTGCGCGTCATATACCAACGTCTGTAAGTACAGTAATTGATGTTCAAGGCTGACATTTTTAACAATTGTTCTAAAATACATTCAACAATTCAATGTGTGTTCTATTAGACCATGTCGTAGCTGGAGTTCCGAATCGCTGCGTGTGTGAAACCATCAACATCGCTAATGGGTTTCTTGCATTGTCATGTGTTTTTAGGACTTTCTAGAGGTTTATCCGATTTAGAAATTTGGCTAATAAATTAGTTGCTTACTTTTTCTTGGTAAACCCGATGGCAGTTTTGTGTTATACAACTTTTGGCGCAGAATATACGGAAGTTATGCTTCGATAATATTTATTGTTCATTATGAAACTAACGGATTTCTTATCGGCTACTGTAGCAAAACACAAAGTAACTACCTAATGGAGGCATTTTTAATTTAAGGTAAGAATTTGGATTAAAGCAGCCGATTTGGAATCCGAAACGAAAGCTAAACGTCGCGTATATAGAAAGGCATTAGAGCATATACCCAACTCGGTACGTTTGTGGAAAGCCGCCGTTGAACTGGAAAATCCGGACGACGCCAGGATTCTACTATCGCGTGCCGTCGAGTGTTGCTCGACCGCCGTGGAGTTATGGCTGGCGCTCGCCAAACTGGAGACGTACGAGAACGCGAGGAAGGTCCTGAACAAAGCTCGCGAGAATATTCCGACGGACAAGTCGATATGGACGACGGCCGCGAAACTCGAGGAGGCTCACGGTAATCATCAGATGGTGGAGCGTATCATTGAACGCGCGCTAATGTCTTTGAATTCGAATGGAGTCGAAATTAATCGGGAGCACTGGTTTAAAGAGGCGATAGAGAGTGAGAAGGGAGGACACATTCATTGTTGTCGGGCTATTGTGAAGGCTATTATTGGGAGCGGGGTTGAGCCAGAAGATCAGAAACACACGTGGATGGAAGATGCCGATAATGTATGGTATTTGTATGCCAGGTTTCATTTGTCTCAAATTCGTATTTCAGTGTGTCTCCCAAGGCGCTTACGAATGCGCGCGCTCTGTTTATAGTCACGCTTTAACAGCCTTCCCATCCAAAAAATCTATTTGGTTACGTGCTGCTTACTTGGAAAAAAATCATGGTACCAGGGAAAGTTTAGAAAGTTTACTGCAACGTGCTGTGGCACATTGTCCCAAGAGTGAGGTGCTGTGGTTGATGGGTGCCAAAAGTAAGTGGTTGGCGGGTGATGTGCCAGCGGCGCGAGGCATTCTTTCCCTCGCCTTCCAAGCCAATCCTAACAGTGAAGAAATTTGGCTTGCCGCCGTCAAATTGGAATCGGAAAACAACGAATACGAGCGAGCAAGACGGCTATTGGCAAAAGCGCGAGGTTCCGCTCCTACCCCACGTGTATTAATGAAGAGTGCAAAATTAGAGTGGGCTTTAAATGATCTCAATCCCGCACTCGCACTTCTAGACGACGCTTTAAAGGTTTTCCCTGATTTTCCCAAGCTATGGATGATGATGGGGCAAATTCACGAACACAAGAAAGACGTTTCTAAGGCCTTTGACGCGTACAGCAGTGGTGTAAGTATCATTCTGGTTTTAAACTTCTCTGTTAATTGAACAAGTTTAGATCAAGAAGTGCCCCAATTCGATCCCGCTATGGGTTTTACTGGCGAAATTAGAGGAAAGTCGCGGACTACTAACGAAAGCACGATCAGTTCTGGAAAGAGCACGTCTAAAGAACCCTAAAAATGACTTGCTGTGGTTAGAAGGGATTCGGATTGAGTTGCGCACGGGCGTCAAGGAGATTGCATCGTCCATGATTGCAAAAGCCTTACAAGAGTGTCCTACATCCGGTATATTATGGGCAGAATCGATATTTTTGGAACCGCGTCCACAACGCAAAGCAAAATCGGTAAGTGATGCCTTTCTTGAAAACTGCTAACACACAAATTTAGGTCGACGCCTTAAAGAAATGCGAACACGATCCGCACGTTTTGTTGGCAGTGAGCCGATTATTCTGGTCGGAACGCAAGATAGGCAAGTGTCGCGAATGGTTTCAGAGAACAATAAAAATTGAACCCGATTTGGGCGACGCGTGGGCTAATTGGTTCAGATTTGAGCAGGTACATGGCACTACAGATCAACAAAATGAGGTTAAGCAAAGATGCTTAGCTGCCGAACCGCATCATGGAGAATTGTGGTGTTCAATTTCAAAAAACATAAAGAATTGGTGTTTTAGTACAGAGCAAATACTGCTAGCTGCCGCTAAAAATGTTCCAATTCCGATATAAAAGTGTAATTTAATTTTTAAATAAATGGTATTTTCCTTTTGTATTAGTTATTTTTTGAGATGCATAATAATAATAATTAAATCTTTAGTGCAAAAATGTGCAGAGGTAAATTTTTTATTTCTGGACTGATCTTACCGAAATTTTAACAGAAATACCTGTTAATGAAACCAAATCGATCAATTACATTAAACAATGTAAAAAACTGCTTTCGTGCATGTCCATTAATAAGTTTCTTATTTGTGTACTAATTGTTAAGAAATTAAACAGGATGTGGTACTGACTTCTTACAAAAGCAAATTGAACATCTATGTCAAAAATTTTCCTCTCAAATTATTTAATTAGTCTGGTAGGGTTTTATCTTTAAATACAAAATGATTATATAAATCCTGTGTAAATGTTTATTCGAACTCTTTAACGATCCAGATAAATGTCTCGTACTTAATTGTGATTGATTGTGATCAATTTGTTGATCTGTTTTTTTAGTAGTTTTACCTTACATATAGTATATAGGTAATTAAAACGAAACTCATCTCCACAAGTCAAAACTCCCGTCGCGGGAAAACAGTATATTGAAGGTAACAGCAAAGAGCATCGATCACTAGGTTTTACCTACTTGCAAAGATACGTGTAGGTAGTATTATCTTTGCTACTGTTTTTGTGAGCAAGTCAAACTGAAATACGCAAAACGATATTGTATGCATTTCGGGTCACTCTATACATTATTAAGTCTAATCGAAACACTGCCTTTTTTTGAGCCCCGAAAAAAAATTGTCTCAGATCGACCCGGAAAAAAATTTTCTTATAGAATGTGGCCTGCAGAATCCATAATTTCAAACAGTTCGAAGATTGGGCAACTAGTTCAAAAGTTACAGCCCTTTGAATTTTCTTTCGAAATTGGTTTCTAGTCTATAACTTTTGATTGAGAAGTCTGATCGAAAAAGTACGAATTGTTTTTGATTCTACGCACCAAAATTAATAAGAAAAAGTGTTTTCCCGAGAAATTTTGGTGTAGTCGATTTTTGGTAAAAAAAAGGAAGGTTATACACTGCCTTTTTTTGAGCCCCGAAAAAAAAATTGTCTCAGATCGTATCATGAAACATTATGTCATTGCTAGAATGCTTTATCGCAAGACGATTCTGTTCATTTTTTGGTGCTTTTACAGCTTTCGGTGTAGTAATGAAAAAGACGGTCACCTTCCTATAACTACGATACAAGTCCTAAACGCGTTCTGACGCATTCAACGTGAGATTACACATAAAGTATTGGAGATACAAAAAAAATGTAAATACTCTTTTTTATAGGGAATTTAGTAAACTATATTTTTCATGTAAACTATTTCTTCGTATCAGTAATAGTTGCCGAGACATGGGCAAAAAACTGGAAAAGTGTACCGTTCTTCGAGCGCAACAGATTTTGACAGGGACTTTTAGTATGTTCAATAGAAAGTCCCAATAAATGTGTATACCAAAATTCAGATCTTTACCGATTAATGTTTTTATTTGTCCAAAATTGCGCTAATTTGACTTGACTATATGGGATATTTGGCGTGCTATTTCGAGGTCGAGGTTTAGATAGGAGTCATTGACAAATTTGCCCCACTATAATTACCTCCATATATATCGTCAGCTTCCAGCGGCAAATTTCATTAAAACATATCTGTCTTATAACTCCCTTCATTATTAAATATGTGGAAAATTTACGAAATGAACATTATACTTCATGAAATTCGATTCTCAGCACCTTGAATGTCTTTATACGTCTTCCCTGATCTATACCGACGTATGCTAAAGTGCTAATGCGGAAAATTACAAAATGTTCAGAATCTTCGAGGCTGTAATTCTCAATATTTATGATGCGCAGTCAAAAATCCAATATTCTATCAGCGTTTAAAACAAAGAAGTTTGACAAGTGCCTCGCTAAATTTGACAATATACCTAAACTATTGAGTAACAGGTATTATGAGATCTGGGGAGTTGAGCTATTGATCCTGTAGGTTATGATTCGGAATACGTAATGAATGCGTGTTCGCTATCGGAATTTTTCGTTTCAGCCATCAGTGCCGAGTTTAACGCCTTGAAGATTTTCTAAACCTTATTGATAGGAAATGTAGCCGCAATTGCGGTTTTTTCCCAAACGGAAACGAGCCGCATGTAACGTCGTTGTAAACGATTAGAAAATCAAAATTTAGTGTAAACATTTGGTGTTGCGGAGGCACGCGGGTTAGTGAGTTTAAAGAAAGGGGTAGGTAATATTGCTTGATCGCGTTCGAGCAAGAAATGTGCGTTTTGAAGGAAAATTGCATGACACTGGGAATGGCGTGATACTAAATGTTAAAACTTCTCTTAACTATGGTATATCTTAAGGGATGTAGGAGTATATTGATTTCTTATGACATCACCAGGTTGCTAGGGTACTTGGCGCCGGCGCCTTTATTTGCCAAGGATCGACCCCTGGGCCACCCTTCGTAACGGTGTCGTCCGGTCGCCCAACCCGATGATACGCAGTGTGAAAATGTGTTAATCTTAAAACGGGAAAGCCCGTAAAATTAAGGTAAATATACCGTCGAAATGGGCACGGTGCTGAGTTTTTCTCCGCGCGAACGCCGTCCGGTGTATACGAGCACATCAACTACCGATTTCACCCTAAATAATTTCTCATACGAACAGCTAAACAATGTGAAAAATCGCGAAAACAAATCCAACACTAACTTGACGAACTCAAATTCGAACCACAACCTCCATAATAACAACTGTAACAACATTAATAACAACGATAACGCGAGAATAATCTCGGAGAAAAATGCGCTCGAGAAGAACCTCAAAAAACATTCGCTGTTTATTAACGCGTTATCGTGGAAGAGATTTTCGACTACCAATAACAACAAGAAGAAACTAGACAACAAGAACAAAAATGTTACTGTGTTCCGGCAGCCCTTAGTAGACAACATTCATCCAGTTGTCGATAAGAACAAAAATATACAGCAAAACAAACAGGGCTCCTATTACTCCAACTCGAAGAGTATAGGTACCTCAGCGCTGGCTTTGGATATCGTCCGAGTGAATAATGTTAACAACAACTCAAATCATCACATAAATTGCGACAAAATCAGTAATAAGCAAACCTTACTGTCACACAACTCTGTGAATAGTCAAAATCAGGTAGTCCCCACATCGGTACCCAAGAAAACCGTCATTCAAGCTTCTACGTCCGAACTACTCAAATGTTTGGGAATCTATCTGCATTCGAAATGTTACAGACTGCGAGATTTTCAAGCGGGAGATGCTGTGATGTGGCTCAGAACTGTTGACAGAAGCCTTCTCTTACAAGGATGGCAGGTTTGTCTAGCTAATTGTGCATGCTTATGGGCGACCAAAACTGTATAAGGTTTAGGTCAAGGTTTCCTGTTAATCTATTATAATATTATTGCACACGTCAGGCGCTGGACAATTATTTCAGTAGGCAGTTCTCCTACATACCTCCGATGTAAGCTCGTCCAGCTAACGAAATTATTTCTTATTATCTTCGCGGCCTTTCATTCCTAGAAGCGAATTGGTCCGCTGCATTTTCCCACGATCGATGCCTGGCTACGCGGCGCCCGACGTCGACGTCTGCTCCAAAACAGTATTATACGTGTGCTCTTATTACCCCTTTTAGTTTCGCCATGTTTACTAATAAAAAATGTACCGTCTGCCGCATCAGTTCGAGGAAGCCTGCAGACATTTAACTTGGTAGGCAATTAGATTTCCCCCACGTGGAATATTAGTCTCAAAGGGAACTAGGGGTAGTAACACCCATTCCCTCTGATGCCATTAACGAAAAGATTAATGAATTGCTGTATCGCAATAATAAATTAAAATCCTTTTCCCTCGAAATATCAGACATTTTGATCCCTTAGCACTTTATCTCTGTATATCGATCAAAAAGCCTACTTTCAAAGTAGGTAATTACTGTGACCTGTTCCAATTTTTCTACACGGAAATATTTCAATGTGTTTCTTTTTAGGACGTGGCTTTTATAAATCCGGCAAATGTTGTCTTCGTGTACATGTTGGTGCGGGATTTAGTGGAAGAGAGCGTCGAATGTGAGCAAGATCTTCAAGCGGTCGTTTTAACTTGCCTCTATTTGTCTTATTCGTATATGGGTAACGAAATATCGTATCCGCTGAAACCGTTCCTCGTCGAGGACTCCAAAGAGAAGTTTTGGGACCGGTGTTTAGACATAGTGAACAGACTCTCTTCAAATATGCTACGCATCAACGCCGAGCCTGGTTATTTCACCGAGATTTTTACGGAACTTAAAGCGTGCGGTATAACGAACTCTATTAGCAACAATATGGCCACTATGGCATGTCAAACAGTACCTGTCGTATCTTGTAACACCGGAACAACGGCCGCTTGACGAAAAGAAATAACCGTAGTTAAACTTACTTTAGCCGAAACTCCGACGGTAGTACCTTGTCAAGTTTAAGGTGGGTTTTATCTTAACACAGATAAACGAGCGCAGATATTCGATAATACAGGGTGATTTCGATTCAATTCAAATTACTTTGTATTATCGTATAGGAATATACTTTAAAAGAACTGTGTTCATTTAGGAGTGCTTTATAGCTGAGTATTTGCGAGTGTGTGTTTCATTTTCATATTTCCACTTCCGAAAACGTAGAACTGTAAAAAGGGTGTGAATTGTGGGTAGGAAATTTAGTGGTAAAGTTGTTGATGCCGCATTTTTAGTAAAAAAAGAAATGGTTGTAAAATTTTGATAAAAATTTTATGGCGGGAAACATATAGGTATAATTTTTGTGAAATTTTCTGTTAATTATTATTATAGGTGAGCCGGGGGTGTGCAATTTAGTAAATATACTTCTGTAGGTACCAGGAATAGTAATAGGTACTTACTCGATTACTTAGATACTGTAGCTGATAGCAAAAAAATTAGCCCCAATGACTTGTATGTTGGGGGTACAAATTTTTACGTTTGGTGATATTTTCTAGACGGTACTTAAGTGATCATTTTTTGTCGGCATGGCGTTATAAAAATTCATTAAGGGTTGGTCTTTCATGTTACAATTAAATTTATCTGATAAATGTCTGCTATAGAGTTTGACTGGCAATATGAAAGGCTAGTCATTAATATTCAAAGGAGTGTGAGTAGTAATAATTATTTCGTATGTAAGGGCGAGTGATTTTAGTTGTTTAGGATAAATGTTGATTTGTGCTTATTTGTTGTTATGTTGAAAAGAAAAGACTGGCTTGTTTTCATTGTATAATTGTTACGAATATGTTTAGATGTTGTTTTTGTCATTGGTAAATATTTTTGTAAACGTTGTGTTAACTCAACAAGGTGCCCCTGTATTAAACTAAGAAGTTCTTATTTACTCAAATTGGTACGTGATTGATATTGTGAAAATGAACTTGTTCGACTGGTTATTGTTGGTATAATTACATGTAAGAATAAAATTATACTTTTTCTTTTATTCTAAATTAAAAATACCTACTATAAGTGCGTGTAGGTACCGAGGTAGGTACCTTATACCTAAAGGGTATAAAACCATAAAAATCCATGATCTGAATAAGTTTGTATCATTTTCTTGAAACAAATAAAATGAAGCAACGTTATTTTTTACTTTTGTCTTTAGCCAAAGTAATTTACCCACCCCTAAATTCGCATTTCGAAATAAGAGGAACATGATTTCATACAGTAAATGAATAAAATGTAAACAATCCTTGATTTTCTTAAATTAGCGCACCACCTGCAGTTGATGGTAATAAATGCACCACCCTTAGGGGCAAGTTTTTAATGGTTCAATAATCCTATCGGAGAAATAACCTTGTATTAGTGAATATATGATTCCATGGAAAGTAATTGACAGATAGATGGACAGTAACACGAAAAACTGTCCCTATAAGGGTCAATAAGGTAACTCCTATACATAGTGTGCGCTCTTAATGGTAAATCAGCCATAAATTCAGGATCTTGAACTCTTAGCTTTCTAGCCCTAAACGTACTACTCTTTCTAGCGACACCAATTTGGAATCTGCGCTGTTTTCATAATAAATCCAAAGCCAGAGCTGCAGATGCATCAAGACGTGTGGAAAAAATGTACCTAGCTACAAAAAAGTAGGCCTCAATTGGGGTGCTCTGCAGTACCGTGACAATCGAAACAGATCTCTCAAATATCATTGGGGACGGACCATCCGACATTGAAGTAGAACTGGGCTTGGAAATCTCCCAGATTATTGAGACTACGAGTATTTCCAGAAAGTGTGGACAAAGAGGACGAAGGTATGTAACATTTCCTTCCCCAAAAAACAACATTACACACTTGGAGCATAAATGTAGAATGAAAGCCGGCCCGCGGGTCTTGTGCGTGATTAGATGGGCAGAGACGCGCGTCTATGGGGTGAAACAACTTGTTCACCAGTGGGATACTCTACAATAAGTGGAGGTGCCCATATTAACTATTGGGCAGTGTAAAAAAATCTTGACGATTAATGTCCGCATGCACAGATTTTTTTTTAAATTTTAACCACAGATGCTTGTCTAGTAAAGACAAGCATATCGCATATTGTAAAAATCAGATGTGCGCATGCGGAAACTGCGCAATCTCATCTTTCTTATTTATGGATATATTTTTTTGAAATTTTAACCTCAGCTGCTTCTAGTAGACAAACATATCGCATATTTTAAACGTCAGTTTACAGAGGTGTGCGGGTGGTATATAGCCACAGCAATTTTTTTCATTTACTTTCCCTAAGGTACACCGAGTTCAGGATTATATTTGTCTTTGACGCGCTCTAATGATGAAACGCTTCATTTCTGAAATATCAGCCAAAAACTGAGAAAAAAACTGAAATTATGGTAAAAAGTGCACAACAAAACAATGTTCCGGGTCAAGTTTTTGCCTGCAAACGGCCGCTTTTCTAAATCCGCTTTATACGCGGTTTATTAAATTTTGTATATCCTCCACCTATCAATTCTCCAAATTTACGATGGAAAATGCCAAATTTGGATGCTTTATGATCATGACGGGATGGCCTTACAAAATTGAAATTTGCGCTCTTAATGGTAAACTGTAGTAAACTCAAACATTTGACTTTAGAAGACCATAAATGTTGCAATAACTTTAAGAATTATGACTCCAGTGGAACCATTTCAACATTCCTAAATTTGTATGGCAACCACTTCATGATTTTCTCAATTTACGATGAAAAATGCAAATCATAATTTGGTATGACTAGGCAAGAGCTGGACTATGGCAATAACCTCAGGGAACATGCTGCACTTGTTCGGCACGGGTCTAAAAGGGGTTCCCGCACTCACACCCATTCTAGCAGTGACGAGACCAGTGGTTTCCTACTGGCCGTAAGTATTTTGGGACAAATTGCTTGTCACGCTATCAAAAGGCCCTGTTGCCTAGGACGTAAGTCCTTGCGCAGCACTTGGTCCTTCCACACAAAGAGGATGGTTAGGTACCAGCGGGAACCACGTGGAGGTAGTTGCTCGAAACTATGGCTCTTGCCTACCTAATCGTGTGCACCACTATGATAGGAGGACTTACACGTAAGTTCTTTGGTTCATTTACCTCGCGTTACCGTAAGGAATCGACAAAGAGAGTCATAGTTACTCCCGCTTTGTTACCATTATGAGTATGCCGAACTCATGCACAGGTGAGCAAGGTTGTATTTTGAAGTTGATTAGGTACCTACTTTAAAAGTGAAAAAGAAGCAGCTGGAACTTTATTGCCCGTAAGTGCAGTATTATGCTTGCCAAGAGAGTGCCTGTACCAGAACATCTAATGGCTGTCTACAATCGTATGTTTTTCATATTAAACCAGACAATTGTGTACCGGTATTCTCTCCTGGAAAGTACTATATATGAAGCAATTCCCGAATTTTCTGTAATCATATACTTAATCGCAGGGCAGTATCCTTTTCGACTGAAGGTACAAACAATTGGCATAGGATGGGATAAAGTCTGGTTCATACCACGGACTTTTCCCACATGAAATACATGAACATTAGTCTGGGAATAGGAAAAAACATATCAGGATCAGATACCTTAAAAGTAATTCTCACCTTTGTTAGTCTGATAACAATGAACGATAGTGATACATTAATAAATAAGTTTTTTCACTACTAGCGTCTGATGACATGATTATTAACCCTTTTTCCACTTGTAAAGTAGGCTTTCTCGGCATTTGTTCAAAGTGGTTAATAATTTTTTATTATTAACTAGTAGTCAATAATGAGAACTGTCACGCTGTCACTTTTAGAAAACACAACCCGAAATTTCGCCCAATGAACGTTTAGACAAGTTCTCTAAAACGAATAATTGCCACCATTCGCAATTTCCAGAGAAATTACATACCTAAAATTATCACATTTGAAAAAATTCGAACGAAATTACTCTTTGAAAAATCTCAATGACAGAACAAAATACGGCCTGTTTGACTTGTACTTCCACGTACTTGATTGACATGTTAAATTAAAAAACAAACAATTCTGTCCAACCGTTAACTCTCTTATCAATATAATATGTTAATTTAGAGGATTTCAAGTGCTAGTAGTGAAAAAATAGTATATATACCACGGTAGAGAAGTCTATTATTGCCTTCGCACCTTACACCCCTCGGCGCAAGCGCCTCGAGATGTAATCTTGGTGCTCAGGCAATAATAGTGGACTTCTCTACCTTGGTATATAATGTACTATTATTTTATAGCAGATGTTAAATTGTTTTGAATGAGTAATGCAAAGTCGATGTTTAACCGCAAGGGTAGATAAAGTGAAACAGATGATTGTGCATTCTAATGACATCTGTCATTCTCATTTCAAATGGGACGTGAAGCATGAAATGAAATGAAGGTCAGGTTCAGAACATAATACAATGCCAGGTCTATGGCAACGACTGCAGCGGCAGAACCTACGCTTGCTATTTTTAAGATCTAAATTAAATTCAGAATTGCCAGAAGGTTTACAATGATTTATATAGTTTCTGCTATAAACTAAGGTTTGTATTATTCACGACAACCACACGTGAAAGCCTTAATTTTGCTGACGTCAGATAGTGTGTTGAAATATTCACCAGTGAAACAAAGTATACATATAACGAAAATAAAATACAAAACAGCATACAGTATGACCTACTAAAATATAATACTAGAGGGCATTTAAAAAATGATTAAAAAAAGTTGCAGGCAATCTCGAACAAAAAAATGTATTTGTATTTTAATTGGGAAATATGTCAAATATATTTAAGTTTCGCATATAAATGCATGTAATGTTAGAACACATTCATGTCACAAGTAATTATATGATACAATTAACTTGTAAATAAGACTAATTAAGAAGAGGTCATCTGTTAATATCATGAATCACTTCATATAGCCCTCGACGGAAAATAACAATGAATATGTTTTCGAGCTTTATTTTATATTATAATGATACATCAAGTAACTTAACATATGCCTGGACAACTTACGATGGAATTGAAATGAAAAGGTAATTTAAATCTTTACTAAGGTATCCAGGCAGACTACGAAATTGCCGTTTATTAACCTATGAGACTTAGTCTCTCAGCCCATTATCTACAAAGTGAAGATTCACGTTCACATTTCGCTACACATACAAAATTACAATAAAACTTGAACAAAAAGTAATTTTGGCGAGATAAAATCCGTTAACAAAGTATAACAGCGTCAAATGGAGCAAAAAAAAAACTGGCCAAAGCCATAAAACTTGTTTTCTTGGATAAGAGTTGTTAATAACGAAACAAATTAAAAAAAGTACTTACAAACTAAGACAGGACCACCACAACACAAACATGCACAATTCGGATGTATAACGCAAAACTTATGATTCAAGGTTCCTTTGTAGACGTTCGATAATAAAAACGAAATTCCATTATCCGTAACTGGCACTTAACTAAATATTTACAAAAATAAGTCTAATATTCTTAAAACATACATGTAGTTACATTGGTGTAACGCCTGAGCACTTACATTATTCTATTTGTAAAACAATCCGCGTTACGTGTATTTGATGCACTGTCCTAATACTTAAACTAAATGAAGAGTTCGTCGTTAACTAAAATAAAGACGCTCTTGGAGCGCCCAAGCGTAAGGAATGACAGTGGCACGAAATACACATATCCACGACCTTGAACTACCTGTAAAGCTATAATTCAGGAAGCTGTGCTACGAGAATATGTGGTTAGAAGACTGAGTTACAATTATTTACAGCTTATGGCATTGTCTAAATGGCAGCAATTATCTCTACCTGTGCGACCGCCGCGGTATTCTCACTTCTGCCTTTTTTGGAGATCAAGGTAGTCAAACCTTATATCACATTACCAAATCGGAATCATCGTCGATTCGAACATGACAAAAGCCACCCGTAGAAGACTTTGAAAATTTTAATACAGAAGAATTGAAAGTTTTCAATTATCGGTAAAGGAAATTAGTTCACAAATCCGTCCGTTTAAGAACACACACTTTCTTTATATTTGGTAATTTTTCTACTAGACAGCAAATATTAATTAAAAGTCGTTTATGCGTCACTAATCACTGCACAGAATGTTCCGTATTGTATTATCTACGATCTCTATACAAAAGATAAG